AGCGTTGGTTTTAAACAACTTGAGAGTGTAAATTAGGGAAGGGTCTTTGTAGCCACTGAACCTTACAAGGCATTGCATAGTCATTTCTGTGTCTGGTTAATCCTCTGTCTCTCTGCAGGAGAGGCTGTTTCTGCCAATGGCAGACCACGTAGTGATGGGTAGCAGACTGATGCCAGAGAGACACAGTAATGTGGCAGAAGCCATCACTCCAAGAGTGCCAGCTTGGCACCGACTGGGCTGCAGGATCAAATAGCATTAGTCCTTTCTGCCTTTTGTGTGGGCAGCCTTTGACCTGACATATCCTACTTCTTCCTCCCTGCCTGCTGCCTTCCTTGAGCAAATCTGAACTAATACAGCCACTCTTTGCAGTAGTTACATGCCCCTATCTTTAAGGCACTGGGCACTGAACTTCACAGCACTGTGGCTCCTTGATTTTGTGGCACAAATCTTTTCCTCTTTAATGCACACCTTGTATCCTTGATATTATGCTTTCAGAATCTCATCATTTAGAAGAAGCCTAATTTATGAAAGATCTGATTTATAGCTTCTGATTTATACCACATACTTTCCTGGAGTTACTGATGCTGACATTGCCATTTTTAAGAGAGAAACAAAGTTAAACTTCTGCCAGACAAAGCAGGTTTAAAGATCAGTAAGGAAGGAGACTGACTGTCCCAACAAGAAGTTATGGGGAGCTAGTAAAGCAAACTGAGAAACATGAAGCATTTATTATTCACTGGCAATAATGGTTTCCTGTTAAAATTGGCTGTTTGACAAAGGTGATGAATTTAATTCCTTGCTTTCTCATTGGGGAATTAGGAAGTTAGCATGGGACAGGAGCAAAAAGTCCTCTGCCTTCTCTGGAGAGTAAGCTAAAGCTAGCCAAAAATAAAGCTTGGAAGGTGTTCAGGAACCACTGTCAGGAATTTTGTGATTATCAAAAAAGTGTCAAAAAATATTGAAGTACTGTAGTTGTCCTGGAAGCCAAGCCATTGTTCACCCCCACACACGTCCATGTGGAAGCAGCTCAGTGAGTGCTCATTTAGGACATAACCTATGAAATAGCTGCAGTACAACTTCTCATGAATGTCAGCACAATTTAGTGCCTGTCAGGAAGTGACAGTGAGAGTCTGGACTTTTAAAATGTCATATTGACAGTGAATTTTTTTGCAAGCTTGGATTGCTTAAAGGATTGAAACTCATTATCTCCTGTAAAAGTGTGACAATTATGGAAGATGTGATAAAGGAAAATACTTAGTTTTACACATTTGGTCAATTTTTAGGTTTTACTTTAGAACTCCTTTTGCTTTTAATGGCTGCAAAAACAAAACAGCTTCATAGCTGCTCAAATGTGCAGAGAAGTTATTTATTAGGTGCTATTTCAGACTGTGCTTGGACAGGCTGGGCTGTAATATCAACCTCCAAATTAGTTAGTAGCACTGCTGAGGGATGTTTTCCAACATCTGTTTTTAGCACTGTTAGATTGGAGCTTATAGTATGGATTATTTAAGGATTTTTTTGAATGGGGCCACTGAAGATGAACTGGAGTGATTCTGCACTTGAGTCAGCAAACACATTATAAGTGTCTGTACAACATGCAAGAGCACACAGATGCAGCTGACCCTATTGCTGAAATAGTAGTACATTGCAGTAGATTCCTTTCAAAAGCATTGTGCAGAGAACTTTAAAAGACATTATCTTAAAGTATACACACCTGCTCACTGCATTTTAAGACCACTGATTTGAAGAACTGTCAGATTTGGAGGTCAGTTGGGGTTGCTGTATTATATGCCATGTTTAGACCTTGTCTACCAGTGGCTTAGTGTTCAAATAGCAAATACATCCTGATAGAGATCCAATTTTAGAGACTTCAGGTCTATGCACTGTTTCTGGGAAATAATGGATTAAGTGTCCTGTACTAGGGCTAAAGCCATCCCCCCAAGGGTGCTACCAATGTAAAGGTGCTACTATTAGACCTTCTCCTTTTTTTTTGTATTTAGCCAAAACAGTCAATGATTTAAAAGACAGAGTAATTATCACTGTCATAATTACAGAAATTACTGCTCCCACTGCTTAGTCAGCAGAAGGCATCAAGGTTCTATATGGTCTTGCATCTACAGTAAGATAAATTGTCTGAGCTTACTCCAGCTTCCAGTGAGGGTACTTTGAATAACTCAGACAAGGCTGCCTGAGAATACAAGGGTGTGGTTAGACACAGAGAGGTGTTTCATGCTACCTTCAGGTGGCTGTGATATCCCACATCCACCCATAGTCACCAACACTTTCAACAATTATCAGCCACCTGTACCCCTCTGCTGTGAGAGTTGCAGTGCAAATTCAGAATCACAATGGCATCACTAGTGTTTGTACAAGGACATCAAGAAATAATATGTGTCAATTCAATGTCTTTAGAAAACATGCCCTTTTAATGCTGGAGGATATTGGTTTTGGTTTTGCTTACAGTGAGTGCCCTGTGAAGGACTGGAGCAGACTACTGACTTTTTTGGCTGTTTTTTACCAAATACTATTTTGTTGATACTTTTTTCCTGTTTGTGCAAAAGGACAAGAATTTATTGAGATAATTTTTTGGGATTAGAAAGTGAATGTTTATATTTTTTTAAATAACTACTGAAGTTATTTATAAGAACTACTGATTATTTTTTATAATAACTACTGAAGCTGTTTCTGAGTCTGCTGATATTCCTTGGGAATTTAACAGAATTGATGTACCTCACCACATTATTTGCCTATAGTTTTATCCCCATGTAAAAATTACGTGAAAATGAGTGCATGAAGAACAATGCTCTAGCAGTTATGACAGATTCGGAAAACCTCCATGAAAGACACTTTCTTTTATCTTTTCCTCTCTGAAACAATAATTTCTGATGTAAATCTTAAAATCAGACTGAGAGAGAAGGCATAGTAGTGGGATCATGCTTGTATCAACCTGTACCTCCACCTGTTTGACACCCTTTTCTGCAGACCTCCACTATATCCTAAATCTTTCCAATAAGAAGCCCAACATGTGTCTCTGCATGGACATTTGCAAGCTGAGAGCTGCCACTGAGGAGCTTGGGCCAACGACTTCTAGAGTAAATGCATGAATCTTAGCAGCTAATGCAAAAAGAGACAGAACTTCCAGCTGTTGTGAATGCACATCCTCTGTGTACTGGACACAGATGTGTCATATAACACATTGTTCTTCATTGCATTGTTCTTCAAAGCATTGTTCTTCATTTTCTGACTGGTGGCCTGCACAAAGAGTGTGACAAGTGACTGAAATGTGAAACATGCACTTTGGTGATTCACTCCATAAGTCAGAAATTAGTGTACTTTAAAGTACAGTATCTCTTTGTAGAGACCCTTATTATGTGAGCAATATTAAATAGTACTCTATTGCCTGTCATAGTTATGCACCTTGACTCCTTTGAGGTCTTTATTACAGGCTTTGAGCAGCTACCTAGATCAAGATAATATTCTCTGTCCAAGAATAAGACCTGGGACAACAATTCCTTCTTTATTGTTGCTCTCCAGAGATGTTGGAAGCCAAAGAGGCTGTAAGGCCAACGATAAAACTACGGAGTGCACTGTTAAAACAAGAAGCAAGTACAAAAAATCCCCACATTAGGGTAGTTTATTTCAGAACTGAAAAACTAACTACTAGGTATATTTGGAAAGGGGACTGAGCAACTACAACATGCAGAATGTATCATTTGCCTACCTTGCTAGCTAGTTGTATGCATGTCTGGGAAGGAGAAGCTCAGGCTCCCAGAGCAGCAGAGCCTGCAGGGACAGGTAGGTTCCTCAGAAGGGGATCAGCAATCTGTGCAGTCAGGCCTCTAAGCCAAATTCCTGACCTGCATATGTGGGTAACAAGCATCAGAGGCTTCACCTCTGAATCTCTCTGTACCCAAAGTCAGGGCTTTGAAAATTTATCTCTGCACAGGAACTCCTGTCCTGAATTTCAGTCTGCCTGACCTGTCTTACAGTTTTGGTGTATGTCTCTCTAAATTATTCCTGCGGGGAAGGGAATCCTCTAGTGCTCTTAAGGCAGAGGACCATGTGTCTTTAAAGACCTAATAATTGTTCTGCCAAATTCCCTTGCCTGCTTCTGATTATCTGTAGAGCATGAATGCCTCCAGAGGCAGGGGAAGACTGAAGAGCCTGCTCTGACAACAGAGACCCAGTGTCCTGATCACATACCTAACATATTGTAACAGAAAACAATTGCTTTCCAGTTTCAGCTTTATTTTAAACATCAAATAATAGAAAGAAGAGGGTGCAAAAGCTCCTTAAACATATCAGTGGAAGTCACTGGCTGAGTTTTTTGCCTCCTCCCTTATCAGTCTCCTAGGGAAGACTTTATCTCATGGGAAATGTCATATTATCTTCTGGGTGGAGTTGGTAACTGGTTGACTACTTTTTATAATGAATATGCTGAATGGATGAGAAGAGAGAAGATATTTGAATGCAGCAGGAAGAAAACAAAAAGCAAACAATTATTAATTTACCACAGCTGAGTATTTTTTCAAGTCTTAATTTAAGTCTAGTTTAAATGATAAAGCTTAACACTGTGTATCAAGTATTGTCTTAAAAATATTCCAAGCTCAACCTGTATATATCTATGGAGAACTTCCATAAATTGGTTTTTTGCATGAAAACCTTTCATATTAGATGCAGATTATTTAAGAGCACCAAGCTAAAAGATAAAGAGAGAAAAGACTTAAAACCTCTTTCTATAAAACAGCAAATAACTTATCTGCCAAAATCACATGTAATGGACCATTATTTCTTTGTTCCATATCCTGTGTTTGAAAATTCTTACCTTATAAAGATGTCAGGACTAAAACCATTATAAGGTATTTCCTCCAAGGAACACATCTATTTGTGGAGAAATGTGTATTTTATGCACGGTAACTTATACATATGGCCTGCCTTTTATGAAAAATTATAAATAATACTCTGTGCTGATGCTTCATTTTTGTGTTTCTATTTTCCAGATGGGAGTTTCTGTGGTGGATTCATCTGTTGCAGGACTTGGTGGTTGTCCCTATGCAAAAGGTGCTACTGGAAATGTAGCCACAGAGGATGTGATATACATGCTGAATGGTCTGGGGATCAACACAGTAAGATACTTTTACTTTCTACTTAAGACTTAATGGAAAAAATAATTAGGAAACATATGATCTGTACCTCACAATAATTTGTGCTGTACAACAAAATATTCAGAGCCCATAGAAGTTTTTGCAAACTCAGTGCTTTAATATAGCTTGACACATGTCAGGAATGATGTTATCTTCATTAGCAATTTAGAATAGAAATGGTTTGTGTATTTAACATAATTTGAATAATCTACTTCTTCATACCTGGAGCTATGAGGAACTTAGTAACAGCTGCTTTGTGTCATTGCTCTGTCTCAGTAACCACAAAAAATTCAGTACTCTAGACATTGCTACAGAAGGCTGATCATCTCAACAGTGGAAAGACTGAGCAGAGCTCAGATTTTGTCACAGTGTTGGATTTGGCTCATAGTGCTTATTAATTTGTTGTCAATTTTTCTGACTTCAAAGTTGAAAAAAATTGTGGTGTTTGGCACCCAAGCACAAGACATTGTTATTTCTCAGGTATCCACTTAATATATTTCCAAATTTTACAGAACCTGTTACTGGCTAGGAGTCTTCCAGTCATTTTTATTACCAGTCCTGTTGTTGGAGGAAGGGCAGAGCAGATCACATGCCCTGAGCTGCGCTTTAATGAACCTTACCAGTGAGCATCCACACCTCAAGAGCACTCATTTGGTATCCCTGGCTGCCTGGCATGTTAATTATTCTGTATTCCTAGAACTCATTTACTGCCTTCTTCAATAAATGTGCTCTTTGGTCTTCCTGTCTGTCCCCATTTATCTGGATGTGTGGCATAATGAGTTCGTGCTAACTCAGGCATTGCTGTAACTTTATGTTTAATTTACACATGGACATGGAGAGTCAAGCTCAAAGGAGAACATATAAAGAACTGCCAAAACTACAAAGTGTGTGGTTTGTATTTAAATTACCACAGAAAGAAATCTAAATGCCTGATATCTGAAACAGGAAGATTTGTGTAACTGAGGAGCTCATTGGAACTTATCATTCACTTGTTGGTAGGCTGCAGTTCTGTGTGGTGTACAGGCCAGTGGAGTCCCTTGACATGAAAGGATTACAGAACTTGTTTCTGAATTGCACATTCCCTGGGCACTGTTAAAGCATATTCAGTGCCTTACAGAGTTCACTGTAAGCATTTATCTGCTCTCATTTGCTTTCTAGGGAGTTCAGAGTAGATATCAGAAAATGTTCAATCACAAGTGTCCACTGTACAAGTGGACTCTGTTTTGACCTGCTTGTACACACTTTGGGGTAGTTTTTCTTCATGAAAATGATGTTTATTCTTTTGAAACAACACAATTCTTTGAAATAAAGAGGAGAAATCATGCATTTCACTTTACATTGCTGTGCACCTTAGACTCATGCTTTCAGTATAGTCTTTCCTTGGGCAAAATACTCATTGACCTTTCCAACTGACTCATAGCAAAAGGAAGCAATTAAGCAAAACTAGTTGGATTATATGAAATATACTATGTACCAGCTTCTTGATAAGATTGATTAATCTGTTAAAAATCTGGTGGCCAAGCAAGAACACAGCTTGTCCAAAAGGTTGATAACAAATCCCATGGAGACAATCTCACCATCAAATGCTTATTTCTTTATTTGGTTTGATGGTGATTTTACTTAGGTTTTGTTTAATTTTAAATTTAGATTTTAGCAATAGAAAAACACAAGTCTTCAATTTTTGAATCCTTTTTCATGCTTTTTGCATGAAGTTTTGTAGTGTTGGATGATAAATAAGTATAGCATATATTTAGACTCTGTATTTTTCTTCTAACTTCTAGTTGTAATTCCAGATCTTTATTCCAGATTCTTTTGGGGTTGAAAGATATTACTCCAGTATTTGGTCCACTGCTGATGGGACAAGAAATCATTCTCAAAGTAGTAGAACCTTCCAAACAACTAGAAGCTGTAACTATCTGTAAATCACTGTAGCTTTACTGATCCCCATTACTGACCTATAACATGAATCAGGCCCTTTGTTTGCAAAAATTAGACCCTGGAGCAAAAAACTTGGAGTCTAAGCATTTTCAACATGTGCATTTATTATTCTTTACATTTTTCACCTCTTTTTTAGGGAGTAAATCTTTGTGCCGTGATGGAAGCTGGAAACTTCATCTGCACAGCTTTGAACAAGAAAACAAACTCAAAGGTTGCACAAGCTTCCTTCAGTACTGGAACTATCAATTAAGTGGATTTTTCTTTTTGCAGCTTGATTACATTTTCCATTTACCTTCACCAAGGACATTTGCTTTAGGAAAAGAAACAAGAAAACCATTGCATCAAAGAAACAAAATAGAACCGATATATATATTTTTAAAATGGGAACAGTTCTTGTACTGTACTGTCTTGTCAGGAATTGTCTGATTTGTAGGTAAGAAATAAACGACTGTAGTACAGAACCCTGTTCTTCGTCCTTCTACAGAAGAGAAAAATGTATTAACACCAGGACATTTTACCATGTTTTAAATAGAATTTTAAGTTCTTTTCAGGAAAACCAGGTAGAAACAGTGACTACATAGTTAAATTTTAATCAAGATGTCTTTCAGAACAGTACAAATATTTGCAGTAGTTTATGAGATCTCACACTGTGTGTGGCCATTCTATTCTGTATTTTATTTATCTGAATTCTTGCTTTTCATTTGTTAAGTCACTGTGTTAGGAACACAGAGCCAAATCTGAATTCATTGTAAGAATTTTTTAGCAATAGAACTTCTTTTAAATTTTGTTTAACATCTGCTAAATTATGGATGACTTTATCTTGTTCCAAGACATTGTGGTGAATGGCACTCTGCCAGCTCCTTCCAATCCTCCAGCAAATTTCCTTATTTGTTACATATGTTAAATTTGTTGTAGTTGCATTTTTTGGTCAACTTATTAAAACCTAATTATATGAAGCAAATAAAAATTGGCAAGGTCCTCAGCATCATTCAGGTTCACAGTGGTGTAGAAGGGGTTACGTTTTCATCCAAGGTTTCATAAAAAATTAGATTTTTCATTCTGTAGGCTACGAATTTATATTCTCATTCAGAAATCACAGGGGTTTTTTAGGATAATAGTATTTTTCTGGACTAGCTAACACAAAGGAGACCACAGATTATTTTTTTTGTGCTCTGCTGATAATGATACTGTTCTTTTAAATGCCTTAGTTCAACAAGATGCCAATGAACTGCACTGTTCAATAATCAATAGATTAGATCAATAATGAACAAGTGCACAAATTCAAAGAGCCTTATCCTATATATAAATGTTCAAGTGTGCCATGAAAATACTGTCATGTTTTTCATCCTGAAACTTCAGTACTCTTACTGGTTGGTTGTGTAGGACCTGACTCTACTTCTCTGTGTACTTAACTTTGATCTGTGTTTTTTCTGAACATGGCCTGTTGACATGAAAATCTAAAACCCTGGACTGTGGTCTTCATCCATATTCTCAATTTTCCTCAAAAATGTGAAATCTTGTCAAAAGGTAAGATGAAAGAAAGTGGAAGATAACACACACACAAAAAAAAAAGGCTGAATAATTTTTTGTCTGGAACTCAAGTCTGCCAAGTTAGAGCTGAGTCATGGTTTGCCTTTGAGATACCAAAGTGAATTTTTCTGAGATCTTTTAGCCAGTTGTGTACTTTAGAATTGGCATTGTATAAGAAAGTTAGTCTTTGCATTCCAGCAGCAGAAAGCTATAAATTTGATATAACACCCCTATTCTGTTTATGTCATAATGATAGTCAAAATTAATGTAAGCTATTTTGTTTCACTCTTCTCATGGTAAAAGTCAAAGGATAAAAAAAGAAATGTGTTCAGGTGAGGCAAGAAATATCTTGTCTTTCATTCCAAAATACTAAATCTTTCCTGCAGAGTCTCGTAAGAAGACTTTCGAGTACTCCTGAAGGTATGAACACCCTGATTTTCTTGACCTGCCCTGGATGCATGTTTGGATCACCACAAAAAAGCTCTTTCCTCTTTTTTCCCATGTTTCAGCTGGGGCTTTGCTATTTAGCTGCCACTATAGCTCATATATCAAAACATGAACTTAAATAAAACCAGGTCTTGAACCATCCACAGACTTAAAGATTCTGTAATGAATTAGACCCAGTGAAGAGGTAAGGAAACTGCAGCAGTACAGTTAAGCCTGAACGTGGTGGCAGACTTGACATCTTAAAAACTCCCTAATTTGTGTCATTTACCCCTGAAGGTGACTAATCTTACTGTAATACTTTCCTATTTAATAATAATTTTTCTTGTTTAGTTTTCTCTGTAGGCACAGATTTGGCTCATTTTGAGCTGGACTATGCAGTTTGCATGTAGGTCCTGATGAATTTTCTTCCACCCAAGACTCTCTGAGCCAGCATGTTTAATTAACATAAACAATATTGAGCTTCTCAAAGACTGAAAGTGAAGTCAGCCCTTGAAAAAAAAGTAGTTGTGTTGCAAACCTGAATGTGAGACTAAACAACTGAACTGAGACTGAACTTGCTGCTCAGCCTGGGGAGATTAAATACACACCCATGACAGGAACTGAGGGAATGGCCTGAAGTTGTGTCAGGGGAGGTGTAGGTTGGATATTAGAAAAAGGTTCTTCACCCAGAGGGTGGTTGGGCACTGGAACAGCTCCCCAGGACAGTGGTCACAGCACAGCCTGACAGAGTTCAGGAAGTGTTTGGACAATGCCCTCAGGCACATGGTGTGACTCTTGGGGATGGTGCTGTGCAGGGTCCAGGAGCTGGACTTGATGATCCTTGTGGGTCCCTTCCACCTCAGCTTATCCTGTGATTATGAACTGAAAAAGAACACACTTTCTTGTAAATCTGTATTAATTTGTGCCACTGGGTAGAATGGAAAATTAAAAATTCCTAAGCCCAGAAAAATCCCAAGAAAGGAATGTCAGTGCCTCTGCAAGGCAGGGTTCTTTTTCTTGAAGGTGGTGGTGAGGTCTTCAATTATCAGCCAAGTAAGGAACTGAACAGACAGTGTCCATTTTTATGCCTCTGTGCACAGTGCATCCTAGGCTTCTCAGCATCTGGACTGTCTGGTTTGCAGACAGTTGGCTCTTGATTCAAGGCTCTTGATTCTCCCTATGCAGTGAAACAGGGTGCCTATTAAATCATGTAGATGAACAACCTAAAATGTCTCAGTTCTTTATTGGGTCTGTTTTAGAAACTACTTGGAAACTTGTGGAGAGCCTTAATTGCAGGTCTGTTATTCTGTAATGATGTGAGCTTTGGAAAAGATGAGCAGTCACATCTGGAGCCTGTACTTTACCCACATGTTCAGCTTCAACCACATCATGAGTTATTGTAATCCAGGGTGGAGGTCACAGACAAATAGATTGTTTGTAGGGATTGTTATGAGAGAAAGAAACATAGAGCCAGAATAAAAAAAAAAGCAACCCCAACCCAGAGTTTATGTGCCAAAATTGCCACCTGGGCTGAATTTAGGTCGGTGGGTCCAGGTGAGCAGTCCCTATAAAATCCTTGTTTAGTTGTATTATGACTGAGAATCTCGAGACATCTTATGTTCTGCCTACTGACATTTTTTAGATTTGTAAAATGCTGCTGCTCTGCTTTCCTGGGCTGGCATAATTTTGACTATGCAGAACATTTTGACACCTACTGTCTGGCTTCAAAAAATAAGCATCTATTGCTTTTAATAGCAAAGACTAATCCAATAGCCATGCCATGAGCGTGCAGCACTGAATTCTGCTCATAGTAAAACAGCTGAGACTATACCCCTTGAAAAACATGCCAAGACATGGGATGAGGCTCTCCAGTGCTTCTGACATCCTAAACCTTTATGCTTATATTCAGAAGTACCTATATTATATATCTGCTTATATTCAGAAGAACCTATATGCGTATATTCACTAGTGATGTCTGCTCTTTTAGTCCCTATCTCTGTCCCCAGCTGAATACATTGCTGTCACTTCACCCTGAAGTAGCCCCCTGGGTGTGGAGAGCTTGCATCCAGGTGTTTGGCTTCCATGAGCAGGTGTTCTTATCACTGTGTCATTATAAAAAAATTTAAGTCAAGGTGTTACATCGTTGAAGGCATGACTGGTGTGCTTTGTTGGAGGAAAAGTTGATCAGTTCCAGTAGTATGGGCATAATCATTCTTCAGTGCCTTCCAGAACACAGCAACAACATAGATCCCATACAGTTCTAATGTCTTCCAGCAGCAGCTTCCTTTGTAGTTTAAACTTTTATGTATTAGGGCAACTTGGCTCTGGACCAGCACTTTAATGGCTCATTTTTGTGTATAACCAGAGCTTATGAAATAAGAACTAAATATTGTAGTGTTGTGAATAAGTCCAGAGAGGCTTTGGCTAATTTTCCTCTCTTAATAGTGTCATTTGGGTTCATAAAACTTTTATTATTGTATTAAGGAGTCACAAAATGAAGACTACAAGTCTGTGAGATAAAATTCTTATGTTTGGGATCAGTGTTGTTGAAATGAAATAATGCTTATCCAAAGAGTTAGTGTGAATGTATAAGATCTGCCCATTTTTTTCACTGAGTTTGTTTTAAGGGGTAGAAATATTGTTTAGTTACTGTGATATCGGAAAATCGGTACTTTCTGCCACTGAATTTTTCTATGATTTCTGAAACTGCCTTCAGTTCTCTTCACTGATTGTGAAGTGTCTAAAAAAGTGGCTAAACAGGTATGAGTGGCAAGTAAATGAATTCCAGTTCTTGACTTGCTGATCAAAATTAATCAGCTTTCCTTTTGTTATACTTTTGAAGATTATTTTTCTCTACAGTCCTGCTGTATGCAGTGTTGATCTTCATTGCTGCAATAACACAGCAGGCAGAAGGACTACAGCCAAAGTCAACTTAGTCCTTTGAAAGCAATGTCAAAGAGATGACATGTTTGTCAAGGAATTGTCATGTATCCGCCTGGTTAAATGCATTTGTGATTTTGCAATATGTGGTGTTACAGCTGAAATAAAATCTGTCTTGCTGTTTATTGAAACTGATATGCTCATATTTTATGCCAGATTCAGCAGCTCTGACTGACCAGCTCATGCATACAACATTAGCAAATATAAGCTGTCACTGACGTGTATGCCCGTGTTGACTTTGTTGCCTTGTAATCCATTTTGAGTGCTTTTTCTTAGGATTACCTTTTAATCTGGTGTTCCTGTGTGTTTTTATAGCAGACAAATCTCTTTTAAGTTACTGGGGAAACATTTATTTCCTCCATTAACTAAACATTAAAAGCTACAGGCAGGAATGGAGGTAGGAGTTCAAAAAATTCAATGAGGCATTATCTAACTTCAGATGTCCCAATGCAGGATAGAAATCTGTGCTGTCTAAGTGATGTCTAAGATTCCCTACACACTTCATGGGAGACTGAATGACTTCAGCATGTGGTCTGAAACATCAAAATGCTGATGTTACTTTCTTGGCAAAGTCAACAGCAAAATTCCCTACCCCATGCTACTCTTGAAGTGCCTTAACATGACCTGCAGTTAGTTATCTTCACTAGTTGAACATAAGGATTAGTATTTTCCTTGGTGGAAAGACAGCAACAGTCATTTTCAAAAAGAACTGAATGGTGTTCTCTGTTTTATGGCACATCTTCCCGTGTTGGTGCTGCTTCCATCCATCTCTCTGTTCCTAGCTTGGTCTGGTATCTAGCTCAGAGCAGCAGGATGTGGTTCCCACAACAGCCTCAAAAGGCTGAGCCTATGCCTATCCAAGTATCTCATTCTTTTCACCACACAAACAGGTGAAACAGCCAGGGAAAAATGTTCATTTTGAAGAAATCAAGACTCACTGTGGCATTACAGAAATAGAAACTTGGGCTTTACAGCCTTGTAGCTTCACACTGCACAAGGAAGAGCTAGTCTGTGTACTTGTCCCAAAAAATCTTCACACATTTAATTTGAAACAATTGTTAGATAAAATGCATAAAAAATCTTCCAAGAAAATAACCTTTCTGATGAGAGTGCTGGAAAGCAAAAATTAATGGTTTGTCCCTCTAGCCCAATCAGCCTTCATTTCTTCGCTTTGTGATGTCCCAGCTCCAGTGGAAAGAGGATGAATGCTACAAAATTACGTATGTCCTGGGAATCTTGTCATCAAGAGAGTTAACTTTCCTCATCTGGGTATTGGATGCAGGTGTCATGCAGGTGTCACTTAGGGGAAAATATTTTAATAATGAAGCTCTTACAAAATACTGCTTTTTCTTCCATCATGGTCAGACTCAAAGTTCTTAAAGGTCTTTTCCAAACTAACTGATTCTATGATTCTCTGTTCAGAAAATGGTGAAGCAGCTAGCGTATAATCAGGATCACATGAATACAGATCATCCCAGCAGAAATGCCTTTATTTAACAACTAACACCAAGATACAATTGGCAGACTACTTTGTACACATGGAGGGAGGGAATGTACTTTTCCCATTAAAGCATCTAAGTCATCTCTTAAGAGAGAGCCTGTGAAATTGCAGAAGAAAACAAGAGCCACTAAATATCTTGTTGTATCTCAGAGTAAAATACCCTCAGTTTCAAATACATTTTACATACTTGTTTGTGACTGTGTGTGTGTATCTAAGCACATCTTTGAATTGTGTTTCTAGCGTCTAAATATAAGATAATTAGAAAAAAAAAGTTTCTAAGACAGAAGGTAATTTTTTGTTGTTGTTGATTGAGGTTTAGTAAAATCTGAATTTAAATGTATCTCCTCAAATTTTGTGAATGGAAGATTCACTGGTTTTTGAAGTCAGACTGAAAACCAGCACAGGTTTCATGTAAAAAATACATTTCCTGTGTAATTAAATGTTTTTATCCAAGATATTCTCAACACTATTTTCAGTTTGAAATCTTCCCATTTCACAGTTTTAAAATGAAGAATGTGAACATAGCACTTTGGTGAGAGTGTCATGGTTTGACACTGGCACAATGCCAGTGCCCCCATGAAGATACCCTCTCCCTGGTAGCTGCTGTGGCCAGATGCTGCAAATTGCTGGACTGCTAAAGCAGATCTTTTTGATTAACAAATGAACTTCACTTTGTTTCTGTGTTTTTGTCCAAATGCTGACTTAGTATGACAGAACATTTGATTGCAAAACAAAAAGGACTTTCTTTGGTTTATGCAGATGATAGAGACAGAGAAAATCCATGTTGTAATAATTGTGTAAGATTTCTAAGCCTCTCCCCAACAGAACTGCAGACTTAAGATTTTGCTCTACAGTAACAACTTTGCAAGCTACCAAAGCCAGAAGCAAGAGTCACGTAGAATAGTAGAGATTCTTGCTTTTCTGATCACATTAATTTCTAGTCCTAGATCTGTCATCTCACGCTAGATGTGGCCCTAGACCATTGGCCTCATGGTCAAAACTGGAGGTGAGTTACATTTAGCAATAATTCAAACAAAATTAAAACTAATCACATTAGAAATAAAGTTAATTAATCAAATGCCATTATAACAAGGCAACACGTGCTATTCATGGTAACAGCTGAATAAGAAACAGCAGTCCATTATTTTGTGCTCACCAGGACTAGATTGTCACAAAGATTTAACAAAGACAACTCACTGGTAGTAAATAGAAGCTTAAATCTAGCAAAACAACTCAGCTATAGAGAGAAATCCAGAGCTCCTAGCCACAGAGTGGGATCCAGGATGGTGTTTAGGGACCATGGCTCCCAGAACAGTGCAAGGGGACAATCAGGCACTTCGTGTCTTGCCTAGGGACAATGAATAGGAAACACAGATGCTGAGATGGGTTACAGCTTCTCTCTTGAGAAGCAGGCACTGCAGCCCCAAGCAAGTGACTTTCTCCACTGGGCATTCAGACCAAAAAATTGTTTTCTAAAGTTATTGTATTCAAAGTGACAAACTCCACTCATTTATTTTAGAAGCATATTGGAGGAGAAATTAAAAACATTTTCAGCAACAACATTTTGGAGTCAAAGCATTATTCCAGAGAGTCATTTTAGTTCATGGAGGGTTGTAATCCTGATCTCCTCCTGCCCTGCAAGTGCTCCACCATCAAACTACAGGCAGCTTTGCTGTGACTGCTGCTTCAGGTACTTGGTACCTGGAAGCCAGGTATGCAAAACTGCCACATATGTGCTCTTTATCAGGTCTCTAAAATGTTTCTGAATTGACCTTTTTTATTTGTTCCAGATGAGTTGAGATCAGAAAGGGTGGCCTTCAAAGATTGCCATTGTTGATACAGCATTTATACCAGTGTCATGTGCATCTAAAAATGTAGGAAATGTACAGCTCAGGACAGATCTGTGGACCCACCCAAATAAGAGAAAGCACAGTTTTACCATTTTTACCCCTTTTTCAGCTTTTGAAAGGCTAAAAATAAGCTAATAAATATAAAAAAATATTTTGTATGCTTAACTACAAAATTTCATAATTTATAGTCGTTTTTCTAATATATATTTTATTATCACATATGTACAACAGGCTGGCTTTCAGGAATAGCCTTAAAAAGCACAAGCAGCAGAGTAGTTCATCTGTGACTTTTATAATGGGCCATAAATGTTTCAGAAGAATGGTCTGGCGAGGGACTTCTTGACTCATGTTTTGTTCTGCAGGCTCTGAAAACAAAGAATGTGCATGTATTTAACAATAAACTACTCAGCTTTTGGTTTGAACTTTGGCTTAATTGAAATCAGTGGCAAAATTCTCCTCTTTTTATGATGAACAATGTGGTATAAAATAATCCCCTTCATGTTTATTAATGCATTGTTCTTTCTTCCATTTTCTGTATTCTTTAAATCTGAATTTTCTTTATATGCTGATATTTCTGTAACTGCAAACCTAAAGAGAAAGCCTCTGTTCCCATATATCCTTGACTTGCCTTTTGCATTTTTCTACAATTCCTCTTTGATCTGCCTCAGAACTTAATAATTAAATTTGACTCAATATCCCTCCCACTATATATAGCTCCTGCTACATCATGTTCTGTTACCTATCATCTGACAGTGTAATTCTTGAAATCTGGCCATTTAATTTGGTCCAAGAAAATGTATCATTTAAGAAAAGGCCGTGTTCATTTAACTAAGTGAATGCACATTTCTGTTTTCTTACCAACATGGGTGTATGGGCAGTTTCTCATACAGAGAGAGGGAGGGAGGGAGGGAGGGAAGGAGGGAAGGAGAGAGGGGGGAAAAGAAAAGGATGGCAGGGATGGTGGGTGTTGTTTACAGACTCCTATGAGCAAAAATGGCATTTGGCAAGAATATTAGCTACAATAGCAGCATTCACGATTTGGTTTCAAAATATGTTATAATGCCAAATATGCTCATTTCCTTTTTGCATTACCCCTGCCTGCTATGGGGCTAGGAACGTAGTCTCACAGAATTTTTGAATTCAGATTTCACCTTCCCCTGCCATGGGACAGGAAATGAAACCTCCCAAAGCCTGGGATCTCTGCATGAATGGAGGGCATTGTAGATACATCTCGTATTTCACTCTTCCCTGCTGACACCCTCAATGTCAGTTCTTTCCATCACTGGGGCACGCTGGACTGTTTTTAAAGACAATCACAATGCCCACCTTTTAACTAAGTCAAACCATTTTATTTTCTGGTTTTTCGATTTCCTAGAACCAGTGATTAATATCCCTATCAAATTACCTGATCTTTAGCAGAGTCAACAGGACTATTCCTAGGATGAGAGCTATGCAGGAGGAGTAAGCAATAATGTAGACAGTTTCACCTAAAAATAAAAACAGAAATCAGAAAAGAAACATCTGCTTGTTTAGTAATGAGAATCAGATTTGAGATCTGTATTGAAAATCATACATATGTGAGGCAAATTAGCTATCAATTTTGACAAATGTAATTAAAAGGAGGGAAAAGATCTAGATGTATGTCAGTAGTAGGAATAACTCTACCTTTGCCATTTGATCCAATGCAATTTTCAGACTTCTTTTAGTAAATGCCAGCTCCGATAGCACTTCATATGTATAGCATTACTTTTCACTCTGCTGCAGGGGAACAGCTTGTTACTATGATTTTTATTTTGGAATATTCTCCCTTTTGATTTTAAAATGTTAATGTTATTCTGTGTATCAGAGCAGAATTGGCTCTTACTTATCAACTAGACTTATTTTTCTTTTTCACATATTACTGTAATTACAGTCTAGAGCAATGCTCCACCTAGAATCAAATTAACATCAAATGGGATCTAACACTGTTTTTCTGGGCCCCATTCCTGTAGAGTTTCCTTTTTCAGTTAGGCTTCTCACCAAGAAGTCACTTTGGTGGCTTATGTGCTAAAAATTCCAACTGTTGAAAAACTGGGAGCTGTTACAAATTTTATTTTCCAAAGGAGGGGTAACTCTTTTTTTCCCTGACGTAATGAATCCATTGGTTTTGATCAAATATGTGAAAGAAACATTTCAGTTGGGAGTGCAATATGAGCCCTGGACACAGGATGGAGAGGCCACAAATGCAGAGCCACAAGCATAAAACTTGAGACCTTTCTGTGACTTTCCTGTTGCACTGATTCTGTTGGCTTTGTACACTCAGGTAAGTTTTGTTTATAGAGGAATTCAAACACAGAGGGCCCTGGCTGCTCCCAAGCTTCTCCATCCTATTATCCAGTGAAACATTCACTAAGGAAGGGATGGATCCCTGGGCTCAGCACTGAGCCACTTCTCTGGGCTGTGAGAAGGCCATATTCTGGTCTCTGAATAAGTTATCAGTTATTATATGCTCCATGTGTTATGTATATGCACACACAAACCTAAAGGAGGCATTTCTGTGTGCACTGCATACCTGCAGCAGGTGTAGTGTATCATATGATACAAGCACAGAGGGTATGGATGCTGCAGCAGCCCTGACTGGAGAGAGGGAATATGTTTTCCACAGCAAGGAAAACAAGGAGCTGAGCAGGGTGTTGGACCTGCCTGGCTTTCATTGTAGGACTGTGCTCACTTTTTCTCAAAAAACTACCCCACATTCAAGTTTTCCAATGTAAGAAAGTGAAAGCAGTGATCAAACCACAATTTGCACAAATGGAGTGAACATTCCATTTAATCCAGTAACCTACTGGAGGATATTTAATATGGCAAATTTTTGAAGAAAGAGGTCTATCTGAGGTCTGTCTTAGAGAGGGACTGCTAATAACATATATTAAAAACTACATCAGCAGTTGGCCTAGCTCTCAAGTTACAGCATTTCTTTAAGATGATGGGTTTTAGCAAAAGAGTAATTTGTAGGCCTTTTTTTCAGTTTGAGTCTGAATTGTACATGCAGCTATTTTTGAAAACTTTTTACAAGTGTAGGAGCAGTTGTAGGGGCAACAGTTTCTTACTTTTTTGAAGTGGAAAGTGACTTTCACACATATTTTAGGCAAATGGAAACTTTTAAAGTATGACACCAAAAAAATTATTATATCTAACATTATATATTGTACAATCATGGATGCTTAAAAATGGGCTAATAAATTTTCAACAGAACATTGTGATCTTTTTCTTATAAATTTTGTAAAAGGTGCTTCATTTCAATCAAACAAAACACTGAAGTCACCAAGTGAATTTTTTTCTCTTTTTTTGACAAAATCTGAAAAAATGCTACATTTTTGATGAATTGCTGGTAAAAGAGATGTTGATTCAGTTCTGTCAGGAACAAAGAGGGATTTTGATGGATCTTACTCTATTGTGGATCTACCTGCTTAGGTATGGCTAGTGCATATTCATCAAACAGATTAATCCCAGCCTCTGCTCAGAGGTTTCTTGGCTACCTGCAGCTTGTCACAGGCTTTTTTCTACATTTATAAAACCATCAGACTGACAGTGTTTGATACCTTACACATTAAAGTCACTGGAGCTGAACTAATCTCAGCTCCCACAGCAGCTGGTATACTTACAGATAAACCCTGCCAATTACTTGTTTATCTAAGCACTCTACTCCTTGGTAGGAAATATATGATAACACTACAATTTAAGATGAGACTTCAACAATTTTGGATCAAGTCTAATTATACTGTATTTCACAAGAACAGGGTAAGAGTTCTGTATTTCTAGCTTCCTCTTCCCTAAATAACCCACAACTTAGCCTCAAAGCTCCACGGTGATGAAAATAAATCCTTATCTTCCCACATGAATCACTTTTCAAACCAATGTGCAGGAAGCAATCTTTTAAATTATTTGGATCTGTAAAGTCATTGATATCATTTGCATAGGATAAAGCCAAAGCCAGGCTGAAGATGCATAATTAGGTAGGCATATTAGAAGTTTAGAGAAATCTTATTTGATTTATAACTTTTTGATATTGTTTCCAAAATGAGATCAAATTCAAGCTTACAGGAAAAGTCTCATTAACTTTTATATGGTTCTGACTCTGCCCACATCACATTTTGTTAAGAGAGTTGTATCAGCCCAAAGATGACTCTGTTGGCCTGTTCCCTCCTGAGAATGTGAATGTGTTTAAGTCCAGTCCAGATTTTTACAAAATCCTGGTATCACATTTTTTACCCCAAACCTGGAATAATAATTTTTTTACTTCCATGGTTCTATTTATTTACAAATACATTTGAATATAGGTATATATGCTTAGATTTATTACTTATTGTGAAAGACTCCTTCTATTAAAGCAATTTTATCCAATTGTATGATTTGCAATGCTGCTGAAAAAAATAGAGAAATCTAACTGTTTTTTTGAACAGTAAGCTATATTTTTAAGTATAAACCTAAAAAAAAGCTGAAGACATGCTGAGTTTCTTCTGAGCATGTTCATCTGTAGATGGCCATTCATTCCATCTGGTTAAAGAGTTCCTTGTATCTTTCAGTGACAAACTAAGTAAAGGATTCTTCTGATATTTTAATGTAGAGACATCAGCAGATTTTACCTCATATTTTTTGAGCAGAAAAAAGCCAAGAAACAAATGCCTTCAAAAGTCTTCACACATGTGAAAGGCCATACTTGACAACTTAACTGTTTTGCCTTTGTGCCCTGAATTCTTTTTGGGATTTGATTTCATTAAAGATAAATATTTTGTAAAGATGATAATTCCCTTTGCAGTCTGAGTAATGCACATTTATTAGTATTTGAATCCAGGACACTGAGTTAGATTTTTGGCAGTGGGATTTATGAAACAATTTGCAGTGTGTTTTTTACCATCAGGCAGATATCCTGAATCAAATTCTTCTTCTTGACCTGACTTCCTATGAGACTTTCATGGCTTAAAGTTCCCATCTCATGTACATGACAGCTACAATAGAAAGAATATTTTATTGTATGGTTTAGGCTGGTCAGCATTCTTTCTATTTTTCTAAAGCTATCCACAGTTCTGTTAAGACTTCAAGGAATGGTTTTTGGAAAGTATTCAGACTTCAATGTGAACAGAATTAACTGGGTACAGGCTGCTTCTTGCAAATATTTATCTGAATCTCTAAGTGAAATGTAAAATGAATTTTACCCACTGAAAGGGTCTGCAGTTAGAACTAGTGACAGCGGTGCAATATCTCACATTTTGCATTTTCTCACTTATGCAGCATTTCTTGTATTATGACTTGCATTATTTAACCTCTAGAGTCTCGTTCTAATTAAGGATTCAGGCTCCCTCTGCAATTGGAAAGGAGAAGTCAATACTTTCAGCAAAGGCAGTCCAAAAAAATTGGCCTACTCTTCCTTTGAGGGTCCCTGACTTTCTTCTCTGGCTACACAGAGCACTTGGATGACATAAATGATTCTTAAGGAACTTTAATGCTAACAGCCAAATGCTTAATTATGCACACACAGGTCTCAGGAATCCCATTCTCTTAATCCATTTTTATATCCTTTTTATCCCTTATCCAGGTTGCCCACTTCAGCAATAGTTGAAGGATGGAGAGGTTAGAAGTCACTTCATTTTCTACTGCATGCAGATATTAAATTATTTTTTTCACAGTCAAAAGCATTCTGTAGGAACAGTTCTGGGAACTAATTTGTAGTATTAGTCTGGAGAATTGTAATCTGCCCTGCACAAGGTAGAACAGGTCATTCTCATTAGAGGTGATATTTGTGCATTAAGCTCTTTATAGTTCTCACTCTGTAATTGGGCCCCTCAAAAGGAAATATAAAATAATATTATTTCAGCAATGAAAACATTTGTATATTAATTCAATATCCTTTAGCCTTATGTTGCTTAATTTCTTAATGTAAATTCATGGAAAGAAAAGCAGCAGCTCTAATAAAAGAAATAAAAGGAAATAAAAGTTGCAGCTCTTCAGCCCAAGGGGTACTGTGTGCCCTCCTGTTGTGTAAGAAGGTAGAGTCCTATGGAGTGTAACACAAGCCCCTTCTCAGACCACTTACTGTGGCTTCTAATTTTGTTGCTGTAACTCCTACAGAAAGTCAAGAGAGATAGAAGTAGGTGTGACATCAAAGATAATAATTTGTGTTACACGTTATGGCTACTACTCTCTAATGACTGTACAGAGAGTCAGGCTCTGGCAGACTTAATAGCTTAATTTTCCCCAATTACAGTACCACGATTGTGAGACATCTATTTCAAAACCATTTGTCAGGGTAATTGATTCAGTCTGATTAACTTTATTTTGTGGATATATAAGGTAAGCCAAACAGGAGATTTCCAGACCAAATGAAGGAGCAGCAGATCAAGCTCGCTTGCCTGAACCCACCCAAGGAGAGCAGTGCTGTGGAAATCATGGAGTGACTTGCCCAAACTCACCATTAATTGCAGAAGAATGGAGCTGTGCTCCAGAAATCTTTTCCCCTGGCATTTCTGTATTTACCCAGTGAAAACCCTTCTTCTGAATAGAAATTTGACCTGGATATTGGAAAGAAAATATCCATTTAAAATATTAGTTTAAAATAATTATATAAGTGAATATTGTTTGATATTTTGCTAACAGACATAATTTAAAAAGGGAGCTATTTAAAAATACTGTTTACTGATATTTGATGAACAAATTGAATGAGTGCATAATAGTTCTTCCTGTTCTACCTCAGTTTTTCTTATGGATGACAAGCATGCTTTGAAAATATTCTCTGCCACAAAAGAGCTTAAATTCTCTTTTCACATAAACTGTTTTAAAAATAGGCCCACCAAAAGAATTGGGTCCACCAAACCAATACAGAAGTGGTGAGAAAGGGGTAGCAGTCTGAAGTAATTTCCACAAGGCAGAGTTTATTCTCCAGCTGTGTTGCTAGACCTCAACAATTTTTTTAAGAAAGGCCTGTCCTCTCAGTGGGCATAATTTCATGAATATATCTGAAAATACATGTCTTCTGTTGAAATGGAAAATAGGAGGTTTACTTAAGTAGTATATTTACAGAGTAGAAGGCTAAATGATACAGTACACAGCTGCTCACCCACATAAACAGCAAGCGGAGAAATTTTAGTAAAATAAGAAAGGCACACATTTGCAGCCTGGAACACTGTCCAAACAACAATGGACTAAACCTACCTGTTATTTTGGATTTTTTTCTGTCAAAAGTATAACCCACACTTAAAATATTTTGGAAACCTAATTTTTTTATTTCCCTCACTGACATTTTTTCTTATTCCTGTTGAGACACTGATCCTACATTGGCAATGATCCACCCTGTGCTTATGCTTCACACAGCAGCAGTCAGTCACAATTCTTGCCTTTTACTGAGTCTGCAGTCCTTTCACTGCGAGCACAGCCTTGAGAACAAGCACTTGGAGCAAAGGCAGGGCCATGCAAGGGTAGGAAGAAGAGATGGTGTAAACACCACTCATGGACCTGTTCTCAAACCCTGGGTATTTGCTATCCAGAAATGTTTCAGAGTTACAGATCATTGCCATTGTAAGAGAGAAAGTCAGCCAAAGATCAACCCCAGGCCAGAGGAAAAATTCAGCACATGGGGTTGGGTGGGCACTGTACAATAATCACTCCACATCTCTGTACTGCCATGCAGAGAATGGCATTAAAAACATGCTTTGTAATAAAACCTATAATCATCACCATCATCAGTTTAGCTGCATCACAACTAGACATCTAGGGGGAAAAAAAAAATAACAATAAGCTGGAAGGGGTCTGTAGAGTAGGTACTGATCCACCAAAGGCTCTGGATCCCCAAATTCCTTTTGTTTAACCTCCAGGAAATTGTTGCACAACACAAGAAATATAAGTTTCCATTCTTCAGTCCCAATTAGGGAAGTTTCAATCACAAAAACCCTCAAACCATTTTATCCTGAGACTGCTTCAGGGAATGGCAAAAGCTCATCAGCAATTATTTGATTATTCAGACATGAGGATCTTTTTTTTGCTTGGTACGTTAAGAGATAACTAACATGATGATGTGCTCACTCATTTGGACTGTTAAATTCAGCCCTAAAGCAAGCAAGTAAATAATATTCATCAGCAAAATCACTGCTAGAAGTCTCAAGTCTAAGTGTGTTACATTATCACTTTTCCAGGGGAGCTGTTGCAAGATTTAAATATTTTCTCAGAGTCTGGATTTTAGTAATGATTAACCAAACTAAGAGCAATGTTTCAGCAACTTGATTTTAATTTTTGGGCAGCCTTTGAGTGACATGAAAAAAAATTTCACCCTTATCAGTGGTACCATTTTGGTTTCTAGAACTAAAAGTGTAACTACTTCACTCAATGAAATGCATGCACACAATCCATATATGTTTTCAAAGCACTGTCCCTCAGATAAAACTATGAAAGAACCATCTATTTTCATTGAAATCTTTAGGTATCATTACCTCTCTCAAGTTAGTTTAAGAATGTACATAATTTTGGAGTATACATGTAGAAGACAGCTGGCACAGGGCATGATGCACCAGTGAGCAACATATCCTAAGAGGATTTATATTGCAAAATAGTTGGTGTGGTAAGTCAGAGATTTGAAGAGAAGAGAATACGTTGGTCTTTGATCTGGTTGATGGAGCAGATGTCTGCATGCAGCTGGAGCACTGCAGAGGCTGCAGATGAACCTCCAGGTTCAGTTTATACTGCAGGAGACCAGGAACCATCCCATGATAGAGAACCACCCTGTGATGTGACCCAGGACACAATAAGTGGGGACAAAGAGGAGCTTTGCTTTGAAGACACTTTGCAGATTCAGACTAAAATATTAATATCTGCTCCCATATTTCCATTTATGGCATTAACAATTCTCTAAACCAAAGGCTTGGCAAAGACATATATATTTGACAAAAAATATTTAGCTAATCAAGTACATGAAAGTCATTACTGGATCTGAGAAAGTACCTATATTTAATCTCAATTACACCCAGTGTTTTTACTGAAGACCAAATCCTAAAGCCTTCTTTAAATAATTGAAGCTATTTTCTGCAGAATTTATTCTGTTGCTAAATATGTGTTTACTAAGGTTTACTAATATTCAGACTCCAAGAAGAAAAGAAAAAAACCCCAAATGCTACTTTGTATTATTTGTAAAAACAGTGTACCAAAGTACAACATTAAGCCAAAACCAGGATGACTTCAGACTTTTCTAATCTGCATATTAATATAGACTCTAGAAATTATTTCTTTATTTCAGAAAATTCAAGTAATGAGACATGTAGTCAATTTCATTGGTTTACTACTATTATAAGTTTTCCCCATACCAGAGGAAGAAAACTCTACGTTCAATTTTTGTTTTGGTTTGTGTTTTAAAAAACCCACAGCTATAGATCTTGCTGAAACCAGTGGTAGCAAAGATTTGGTGTAAATTAGGATCTTCTCTTTAAAATGAATTATTCTGTAAAGCTGTAAGTGTTACTCACGTAAGTCCCTGAAGCAGGATTTGCTGTGCAGCATGTGATGGAAGAGCTCACACAAAGGCTGCTCCCAGGGAGGCACATTTTGGCAGGTGCACTCCGTGAGCAGCATCGTGCCCCAGCTGCTGACGTAGGCTGCTTTGCAATCAGCGGTGGCAGAACAGGGCACGTCATCCTTGAGCAAAGTTTCAAGACAAGCTTCATCATTATAACATTTTTTTGTCACATGTCTCCAACACTTTGACCGAAAAGTTGCGTATTTTTTCCTGGTAGGGGAGAAAAAAAAAGAAAAACAAAAGAAGTGCACAATGACACTTTAACAAACATGATTTCATAAAAAGACATTTAATGAACACCACTAAAGGAGTGTATTTCCAAGGTACCACTTAAGCCTTAAAAATTGCAATATTCACTGATAGCTGACATAAATTCTGCTCTGATTTTGAGAAAAAGCAACTGTAGTTCTACTCAGCACCTGCTTCCCAGAGTCCAGAAAATACAGTGTGAATTCCAACACTCTCAGATACTCAGAGAAGAAATGTGAATACAGGAATTAGACCAGTCATCCCAATGAAACCACACCATCTGCTGTTCTAATGGATCCGCTTTTGAGCAGGGTGAAGGAAGAACAAACATTCAACTTATTTAGCATTAAATAATCTACATCCAATGTCACCCCTTGGCCCTGCAAATGTTAACACAATATAAAATGTCAAAGGCTCAGGAAAAAGTACTGTGAACTTAAAGATAAATTGATAGCAGAGATAAATTACATGAAGAATTACTCCGTTCAGTAATCTCAAATTATTTCCATTTATTTACTGTTAGGATGGAATAAAATTGGCCTTTAATGCACTGTATATGACAATAGAAAATATCCATTATAAATTAACTAAAAAATATGTAGATAATAGTTTAAAAAAATCTAGCATATTATATTTTAGGAGATGATAAAGGTAAAGCCTAGTGTACAATACATTAAGTTATTAAAATATTTCTTAATCATATATGTTATTATATGCTATAACATATAATAACATATATGTTATATATGTTATTAATTTGCAGTTGATATTGTGTAATAGCCACAAGCATGTCACACGGAAAAGCATGGACTGTTGCAATACTGGCTAGAAAACTTTTGTAAATATTTTTATTACACATGCAAAGATCTCAAAGCAGATGCCACCTCTGTTCTAATGGAATTATTTTCATTCACCTCCTGATTTATGGATGTGACTAGCCATAATTCACAGACTAATTTTGCTAATTATATGCATTTATTGTCAGTGCCAGGAAACATTAATGTTCCCAAAATGATGGGGAATTCAGCCATAATGACATTACATGTCTATACATGTACAGACATACATTTATAGCCATTTGGCTGTTGTCACTGACATCAATCTGAATAATCTGCACAAAACCAAAACCATCTCTTGGCCTCCTGGTTTATTGACTGAAGGTTAACTTAAGCACAGCTTTGAGGTAAAATTCAACTCTAATCCACAAGGTGACCACACTGAAAACAAAGTGGGCCAATTGACTGTCCTTAAAAGGAGGCAATCAGGTTGAAATACAAATATGGTAATCCTCTTGCATGTTTTAAAAATATAAAATGAAATGTTGAAAAGGCATTATTCTTCATGAGTTTGGTGGTCTGTGCATGTTTCAGGCCAGATTTTTGAAAGCTTTTTGCAAGTATCCTTGAGATGAAGAGAAGAAGATAAAAGATTTTTGAAGAGGCCAAGCTGGTTGCATGGCTGTCGGGTACAAAGGGTCAGACTCTGCCCTGGAAAGGTAATTACTTTTACCAAACAAACTTTGTCTGGTCTGCTGCACAACTTGGGCAAACTGGTGGAGGGCAAAGGTGCAGACAGGCAGGTGTTATCTGAAGAAAGGGGTAATGAAAATATGCAATGGCATCGTTTGTCCAGCAGAAATGGTGTTAAGTGTCATGATACAGGCAGAAGAGAAGCCCACATTAGATTCCAGACCTTTCTGAAAATTAATCATTTTGGTTTACTTGTGGGATTACTTCTGGAATTACCACAGTTGATCCAAACATCTGTGACAATGTCAAACACAGCAGATACACTGCAGAAAATAATTTTGTTATGGCTGGGATATACAGAGTATAATAAAAATGGTTTGACAAAACAAAAAGCACCTTAGTGGGCAAAATACTTCTACTCACCTGCACAATTCATTCTCTTCACACATCTGGACTACATTCAAACATGATGGGGGTGGAACTACAGTAACTGCACAGGGCTTGCCATGGAGAAGTTCTTTGGCTCTGTGGCAGGATTCATCATGCTGGATGCAGTCACAAAATATCATCATTTGGGCAACTTCAAAAGGCATGTTTCCATAGAAGAACCTTATGGCTGCTTGACATCCTTCCACGTTGCACTTCTTATTTACTGAGCAAACTTTTAGGTACAGGGACAGCTGTTTGTTACACACTTCATCTTCAACACACTCCCTGTTCACATCCAAACAGCTCCTGTTTGTGTGTGCTAAAACCAATAACAGTTTTTAAAATAAAATCTCAAGAAAATTTTTCTCAAGTGATGACTGGTAGGTGTCCTGTCTACATAATTCCAGTAAATCAAGCTTGATTCCCAAAACTCTGATCCAGCTCTTCCTCCTTTCTTGCTTCTTTTAAGCCTATTGAGTAACTTCACACTTCTTTCTTGCACTGCTTGCACTGCTCACAAGCAACCCTCCTGAAACAGCTGAAATCCCCAGTGTGCAGTCTCATGCTCAAGTAATGAAGAGAATATAAATGGCCTTTTTGTGCTTTTAACATCAGTTTAGGTATTTTGAGACTGAAATAAATCTTCTAAAGATATCTAGAAAATTCTAGACCCTAAAATGCTTATGGGATAAGATTTGCCTCTGTTTGACAGAATCATGATTGTTACCTGATTTCCATTTACCTTACTTGATTGTTACATTTTTGGGTTCTTCTGTACCCAGTACCTTAACTGAAGATATGTTTGGTCTATTAACTCCCTGCTCATCCATTTCAATGAAAAGTATTAATTTTAATCTGAAGGAATGTTGTACACTGTCTGAAAACTGAGTTAAAAGTATTTATTAGGATTCATAAGTAAATTCAGACTTACCTTGTTTGGAGAGAGCAGATAAACCCCATTGTAATTTTGTTTCCATACTAATATTGTCTAGAAGAAAAAGATACAGGTACAGGCATAAATTGTAAATAACATCTTAGCCTTTTAACTTTGAAGTATTGGCTGTCTTGCTGGCATAGCGCCAGGAATAAAAATAAACAAGAATAAAACAAATTAGTTTGACCAAATAAAACCTACTAATAAATTCTGAATTCACTATTCATAAGTTTTGGGGTCAAAGCACAGTTTATCAAAGACTGCTCCTAGCATTTTTTACATAATTAAAGACCCTGTGGACTCAGTAAGAGTTTTTTAGAGCTTCTCAGTGCATTGTAAAGTCAGATTTCTTGTAAATACATAAAAGCCAGGGGCCTTAATGTGCTTATCAATGGACCAGTTTTCAAGTTCAACTAACTGCTTGTCATGACCTAAAGTCAAGGCTAGCAGACAATTCTTGCTATTAGTAAATTTTTTTTGTTGGTCTTATCGCTTCTAGTTATAGTGAAAAACTGAAAATAACTTATTTAGATAAGGTTGCATCAAATTAACACATTGAAGAATGACAGTATTTGCACTCAGGCTATCATATTGTATCAGATTCTGAATTTATTTGTAACTAAACCTCCTAAAATGATCATATTTACAATTTTGAATTGCAAATGGGCAAAAAACCACTACTGCTATGTAGAAAGCATTCAGACTGCTGGAAGAGCACTAACTTGTGTCAGTGACCAGATTTTTCTCACCATCAACATCAGCATTATAGTCATCATCACTGCCATCATTGTCACCAGCTCCCGAGGCTTGGCTCTCCTGTGAATGTTGTAAACAAGGGTTGTTAAATATTCCCTTCCATATTTTAATGCATCTCGTCTGACGCGGCTCTGGGCACGTGCACCTTCCCAGAGGCGTTGTCCTCAGTTCTTTCCAGGCCAGCAGACACTTGGCAGGCCGGGGGGAGCCGCAGGTGCCTGCAGGTGCCCGGCAGCCCCTCTGGAAGCTCCTGTGCGCGGCCGAGCAGCGCGGCTGCTCCTGGCAGTGCCGCTTCGCCACGCTGCAGCTCCCCAAATCCCCAGAGCGCCCCTGCGCCCCGCGGCTCCTGGGGGGCCTCACACCCCGTTCAGTGTCCAGCCTCGAGGGAGACTCCAAATAGTCTGCAGAAATAGGTACAAACAGAGTAATAAATCAAATAGACGACGGATCATCATCAGAGCACAAAATCTCAGGAAAAGGGTGCTTGTCTTAATGCATTGCATTGAGTGAAACAGCCCTAGTTTAATTCTGAGCTGTGTGCAAACATATAATAATTCCAGACTCTAACAAACTAATGAATCTTCCTCATGTTTACAGTGTGCTGTTAGCTGTATAGTACAGTTCACTCTAACAGTTCAGCTGCCAAACAGTAGTAAAAAATCCTCACTAAAATTACTGTATAAAGAGCTTAACTTCATATAATTTTAACCACCTACAGCTTGGACATATCATGGTATAATCTTAAGCAAATACATGATTCTTAAAGAGAGAATGACGACTCCAGAAGATGGTTGATTCATTACCTAAAATAGCAATTTAAGTTAGACAGGGAGAAGTACTCCTGAAAGTGCCTAACAACACCATATGCTGTCCCTTGTAGGAAAACCCAACACTACTGTAAATCTATCCAAACTTGTTTCTATAGTGGTGAGAAATGTAATGTCAATTGTCAAAAAAAAATATAACATTATGTCATTTTCCTAGAAGCAAAAGCAACTGTTCCAATGACATCAACATTAGGCTTCAGATATCCATCCTTCCTGTTTGAGGCAAGGAGTTTGGGGTGGATCAGGATGTTACTATTCCCTCTGCAATAAGGCCATATAGTCTAGTACCATATGAATGTCCAGTCTAGTACTATGATAAATGCTGTGTGAGGCCAGCAGGGTGTGATGGATCAGTGCCAGGAATCACTTTGAAACTCACTTTGCAGACTCTCATTCACTGGCTGATTTTATCTCTCTTGTGTCAGCTTTGCTAATCATTATGCCAGGAGACTTTGAACCAGAAACTGCAACTTCTTCATGTACTAAGCAACTCTCAATTACAGAGATAGACTTTCTGCATGGATAAGAGTTCTCAGAAAAATAAAAATAAATTGAGGGGAGCTCGGCCCATTGATTACAATAGAATTTTTAAAATATGTACTCTATATATTATGTACAGCTTTATGCAGGTGGTGACTATGTTTCACACATCCAGTAACCTCTCCTAGATGTAGTGAAGGTCCTCCTGCAACACAGTGTTACACAACTGCACCCCTGTGCATCCCCATGAATTATCCTCTTATCCTCCCATTCAGAAGTTACTGAATGTGGCTATATACACAACCCAGACACAGTGGCTCTTAATTTTCCATGGGCATTGAGTAGCCCTCAACACACATTGTGAATTCACTCTTGCTTTCCAGTGGATTCAACAAGAACTTTAGAAGCCATTTGAATTTCTCACATGCATTTTATTGCTTTTGTTTGTGGCATTTCTTTTATATGCATGCTAGAGCATGAATATCACAGAAAAGACAAGACTAATTTTTTGGGGGCATTTATCAGACTTGAGAATAAGCAAAGAAAGTCGAATCCACTTAAAATGGTGGTTGCAAAATTACTGGGTTTGGTCTTCATAATTACAAATTTATGTTCAGTTACCTTTATTAATGCTGCACAGTTTCCCAAGCAAAGTTGTGATGCTGCAGATATTGTCTGTAGTGCAGACACAGTTTCTAAATTCTGGGTATTCATCAGCCAGGACTTGGATTATTCTATTACATTCAACACTGTCTTCTGCCTTGCATCTATTACCTAGAACTCACCATTAAAATTATAATTTCATTAATGTTTATGAATGCTTAAGGGATATGGTTACATAAAACAATTCAATTGAAGAACAAAAATAATATGCTTTGCCAAGAGAAGACAGTTTGTCATATTTTACAAATTTCAAATAATATTCAAAGTAATAAAATAAAGCTGTGGGTTTGACTTCTTTTATTTGATCTGATCCATTACCAGAAAATCTGCTCTCAAAGTACATAAAACCTTAAACTCTCACCTTTTATTTTAGGCAGGTCAGGCACTGAGACCAAACTAAAAAGGTGCTTAGGTGTGGAAGGGCCACAGCCTGAACTGAGAGTCTTATCTCCTGTGTAGCAGAAATGAGGTGCCTGGTACAGGGACAGGAACACACAGTGCAGGCTTGAGGCATCACTGTGTGATGGAGTGAGACAGGACACAGAGGGCAGAGCCAGCCCCATGGCAATGGTGATGAGAACCCCAGGCTGAGGAGATGCTTGCTCTGGGTCAGATTCCCTCTCTCATTTGAGCATGGTGCAAGCCTAAAAATGCCATTTGGATATTCCCTTGAACCCCTACCCCACAGAACAACTTCACTGCCTAAGTTTAAGAATGACAACACATTTAAAGCAGCCCAAGAATAGTCTGATTTTTAGGAATTTTAGAATAAAAATGAGGGAGAAGTTAACATAAAAAAAAAGGTGCAGAAACTTTAGTTTGCTGGCCTATTTTCAAGTCTATTTGCATGTGCACTTGGACTCAGTGGTAAAGACAGTCACACAGGATGTCAGGTCATATTTTCCATGTATGTGTGGTGAAAATAAAGAACATGTAATAGTTTGTGGTACGAAGGTAAATCAATCAACCATCTACTTTATGAGCTAAAAGCTTTTCGAAAATATTATTATGATGATGATAGTGGGATTGTGTGCATCCTCAGCAAATTTACTGATGGCACCAGCTGTGTGGTGCAGTTGGCACGTTAGAGGGAAGGGATGCCCCTGGAGGGACCCTGGCAGGCTTGAGAAGTGGGACAATGCAAACCTTATGATGTTCAATGAAGCAAAGGGCAAGGTCCTGCACCTGGGTCATGGCAATCCCCAACACACCTGCAGGCTGGGCAGAGAGGGGATTGAGAGCAGCCCTGCAGAATGAGACTTGGGTGTAAAGGTTGATGAAAAGCCTGGTGTGAGCTGACAGTGAGTGCTCACTCAAAGCCAAGTGTGCCCTGGGCTGCATCAAAAGCAGCGTGGCCAGCAGGTGGAAGGAGGTGGTTCTACACCTCTACTCTGCTCTCATGACACCCCACCTGGAGTGCTGCATCCAGCTCTGGTGTTCCCAGCATAAGACGGACATGGAACTGTAGAAGAAGGTCCAGACAAGGGTCAGGAAGTTGATAGCAGGACTGGAGCTCTTCCCCTACAAGGACAGGCTGAGAAAGTTGGGGCTGTTCAGCCTGGAGAAGAGAAAGTTGTGTGGAAACCTCACAACAACCTTCCAGTATCTGAAGGGGCCTAAGGGAAGCCAGAGAGGGACTCTTTGTCAGGAACTGTAGTGACATAACAAGGAGTAATGGATACAAACTGAAAGAAGAGAAATTTAGGTTAGATTTTAGGAAGAAATTTTTTACTGTGAGGATGATGAGACATCAGAAGAGGTTGCTCAGGGAGGCTGTAAATGCCCCATCCCTGGCAATGTTCAAAACCAGTTTGATAAGGCCTTGAGCAACCTGGTCTAGTGGGAGGTGTCCCTGCCCAGGACAGGGGGAGGTGGGACTAGATGATCTCTAAGGACCCTCAACCCTTATCATTATATGATTCTATGATTTATTATTGCTTAAGTTACACATTACTTAAAAATGTAACAAGTGAAGCAATTTCATTTGATTTAGATAAGTTTTATTTTGTGAAAGCCATGATTTACCTTGTCCAAACAGGTATGTGGATCCCCAAACCAGCACATTTCCTCTCTTTGCCTCATAGATATTAAATGTCTCACAATATGTAAGAGAAGCAGTCTGTGGCTCCCGAGATCCAGCCAGGTCACAGGGCAGCATGAGGGCTGGTTTCTGTCTCCTGAGCACACAGGCTGATGTCTCTGCCCTGCTAATGGTGCTGCCTGCTCCCTGCCTGGCTGCTTCCCCACAGGTGTGGGGCAGCAAAGATTCTGCACTCAGTAAAACTGCAAGTGACAAGAAGTCCTCTGTCACCAGCACCACGGGCAAGCTTTGATGTGAGCTGGGTTTAAAATCACTCATCTGTTGCTGACACAAATAGCAGTGGAAGGCAGTGGAGGCAAAGCTCTGCAGGAGGAAACAGTGCAATTTTGCCACTGCCTGAAGTGATGAGAATCAGCTATTCCTGACTTCACATCCCTGTCCTGATCCCCCCTTTTTCTAACAGTCTCTGCACTGACCTTTCTCCAGTTGCTGACTAAGGAGGGTTTGGGGGATATATCAAATAATACCCTGCTAGAGGGGAATGGCACAGACCAGCAAGAGCTGGAGGTCCTAGCCTCTGCTCCCACTCCACCTCTTCCATCAGCAAAGAAAGAGGTGATGGTGGCTGGGGTTGCCTGTATCTTTCCAATCCCATCTTCAAATTTCCTTCTGCTTTTCCAGAAGTAGATCATGACCCCTGACCCTTAGCACTCACAGTTCCAGAAGTCAAGGAACTCAGGAGATTTATTGAAGGTCACAGACATAGGATACTTCCTGACCATAAAAATAGGATGGAAAGGATGCAGTGACATGGCCCATGAAGATGAGTGTGTGGATATTCTACTCTGTATTTTTTCAACTAAGAAAGGGAGAATAAAAGAATTTCAGGAAAATATATTCCAGTAGAAAGAGAGCAATAAAGATCAGGAGAGGCTGGTGTAAAAATTAGCCTATTCACAAAATTTGTGATTGTCTTTTTCAAGGTCCAGATCACACTTCAAGGGTGAAGGTGAGTAGAACTAGAAGAATAAACCCCCATACCCCAGTATATTTTGCACAGCACCCCAGCCTCACTCAGCTCACCTGTCTTCATGCCACTGACCAGTTGTGGCCAGGAGCTGGGGGCTGTGTTCAGTGGCCCCTGTGCTGTGATCTCACTGTGCTGAGTCAGCACCTGACAGCTGGGGCTGGGGAGAGGCTGTGGGGCTACCAACATGCAAAGGGCACAGACACAAGCAGGAAGCACATCAGATTTATGGGGCTCCCTTGCATGACTTCTTAAAAACTGTGTAGAAATAACCTATTATCAGCACTGCTCTGTTTGTACATGGTATTGATTCAGCTGTGATTAACAGCAGAAAATATTTTATTACTGGTTTTCAATTATTGTTGCTTTACCAGGGATTAGTTCTAGGTAATATATTTTATCTTATACATATGCTTCTAAGGCATTTACACAAAAAAAAATGCTCTCTCAGCCTAATGTTTGGCAGCCATTATTCATAATTTGATTTATTTATAGGTGCACAATTTATGTACACAGGACTACAGATAGAAGCATGACAGAGTAGAAGCTGACACTCCCTGAGTGATAATCTCTGCTTTTGCTTAATCAGCTCTTCAGTCGTCTCAGTGGGAATTGAATTTGAAGACTACAGGGGAAAGTGTGAGGTTTTCCTCTCTAGCACTGGTGAGACCACAGTTTGGATAGATCTCCAGAGATCCTTCCAACCTCAATGAGTCTGCTATTCTAGGAAAATTAAACTCATCCAGATCTAATTCAAAATGTGATTCCTTAAAACGTAAGTGATCTGAGTTGTTTTTTTTCTTTTGAAAACCTTTTCTGTTTCCCATTCAAAAAAATAAAGAAAATTTATACTTATGGTTAAATCAGAGTTCAGAAATGTCTTTTTTTTTTACACTGAAATAACAGAAGGAAAACAAACAAATAACCAATCCCACAAATACACCATAAAAACCCAAACCTACAAGTCTTTATTCAGCAGTGCTGAAACTCTTTTGATCTTTTCAAAATGAAGAATCTTATTTCATCAGAATTTAATATTTCTGTCTTTTCTATCTTGACCTGGAAGCTGATTCATAGACATTTTCACACTCTGTTTTTTCTTTCCACCACATTTTGGCCACAGAGGTGAAAGAAGGATTGGACCCTGAAGATTATAAACTGAGACTCTGGAAATGCTGCTGGAGTAGTGGGGAAGAAGTGATGGAAAATTTGACAGGAAAAGGAGTGACTACTTAGGCAGTAGTTTGGAGAGTGTTCCCAGACCTGCACCGAAGAGCAAAAGATGGAGGTCTTGATAATGTACACATTTAACTTTGAGGTTACAGTCTGATGGACTGAGTTATCGAACTTGTACCCCAAAGGAGTTTCGTTATAATTTGTATTCAGGTTTTGCACAAAGAAACTAACAAAACAAATATTTACCCCATTGTCTATTGCCTCCAGTAACATGTTTGTGCTCAAAGGACATTCTCCATTCCTACAGCATGAAGTTTCTAGACTTGCACATGAGAGACAGTGTAATGTTACTCTTTCTAATGATGCTGCTGCTGGGTTTTCTATCGCTGTTTCTGAGAGGTACCATCAGCTGTCTGGCTGGATTTACATGCTCTGGGATCATGGTACCTAATAAGCACATTTAGTATAATTTGTCCTAGACCCAACACAATATCTGAGTGCTCTGCAATGCTGGAGAGTCCTTGCCAAAAGCTATTATCCTAAGGAAACATACAGATGCGAATCCAAACAAGCAGTCACAAGAATGATTATTTCTGGAAGATTTCTCTGGCCCAGTTACAAATACCTTTAACATCAGTGAATAAGTACATAAGATAATAAGAGAGGGAAATGTCATATTATGGGACAATGTCACACACCCAAAGGGGGGCCACAGAAGGAATCATGCTGGCCCACTTCATCTGGCTGCAGGGTACCAAGATTAACAGGCTATAGCACAAACATATGTCTGCGTGGCAAGTAGTGCTGCTGCTAATGTGTTTGTGAATGATGTGAGAGAAACAAATTTAGCTTGTTCTGGTTCTGTTTTGGTTCTAGAGAGCTCATCTTTAGGGCACTTGAGCCAGAAAGTACTGCATATTCCAATTTTTTTTCTTCTAAACAGCAGCCATATCTTTTGAAACTGTTTCATTTCACATAAAATATTCCACAGATCAATAGAACATATGCTGCAGCCCAGCTGCTTTGGGAACTGTTGTAACTGTTATATTATCATATACTTTTCATTTACTTCATCTGTTCTTAAAAGTATAAAGACATTCTATGCAAAGTAGATAAGTATCTGGAAAAGGACACCCTAGACCCCCAAAGAGAATTTTCTACTCTAATTATTTGAAATATTGTCTTGGGACATTTGGGACATCAAATACATGCAACAGATCAGACAGACAGAGGCATTCATTCAGGTAGCTCACACTAGAGGTGAATGTTGTATCTGTTTCTTACTCTAGTACAATAATTAAAAAATTACTCTAAGTAACTACTACATTGTTTTGGGTATGGTGTTAGATTATAGAACCACAGAATTGTTTAGATTGGAAGGGACCTTCAACCCCTCTGCCATTTGCAGGGATGTCTTCCACTAGGACAGGTTCCCCAAAGCCGTGTCCAACCTGGCCTTGCACACTGCCAGGGAGGGGGCAGATCAACTCCTCCAAATTGTGTAAAACAAAGCTGGAACTTCTTCACCAGTTGCGCACAGGCTTTATTTAACAGGATCCCACAAGAGCCTGATTTCTGCTGAATTCAGACTTCTTGAGTTGATTCAGGCTCTGACTTTGTTCCCAGTGCAGAAATTTCATTTATCACTTTCTTGAAGAGACAGTGTGACTGTTACTAAAAGTAGCATTGGCCACTGCAGAGGATTTCAGAAGCTGATTGTTTTTTGCCTAATTTCTCTCTTTAAAATCTCACTGACTTCATTTAGTTGCCACTGGGATATTGTAATAAACTCTGAATATGCAATTGCATATAGCAATTCAAAATTAAGGTGTGTACACCATACAGAATTACCTGAAATATTGCAGGCATCTTCAACCACGTTCCAGACACCCTCACATCCATTTCCACCATTAACACACTGCTCCCTCAAGTGCAGACAGTCAGTAGTCTGGACAGTAGATATACATGTGAAGTAAATGAATAACACTGTAAAAACAGAATATAATGACTATTTAAAGCAGTAGATACTGTACTGACCCTTTTCCTTTAAACATAGGTTTTAAAAATATAATTTACTCTAGTTTTTTCTATACATTCAAGTTTGCTATCAAATTAATTTTTAGCAGAACAAAATTTTCCTCCATTTTGTAACTGGAAAATTAAATTTAAATGTTCAAAGTTTCAGTTTGGCATATTTTGCATTGGTTTTGCCCCAGTATTGTAACAGTAACCATAGTTATATATGACATTGGTGCATGGATATATAGAAATTGTTGCAGTTCTGAGCTCCATAATAAATTACAGAAAGGAAGACAGTATAAAATTCAGAAGAAACAGTACTTTATTCACATGAAATCTCACCAAACTAAGCTATTTAGGAATTCCTATGAATAGAGTGTGTGAAAGAGATTTGACAACTACACAAATGTAAAATAATAAATACAATTTTATTTTATAAATGCAGTACTCTTCACTCTTTATTTTTACTTCACAGATGCATAATTTCTTGAAAGCAACCCTCACATATATGTCTTCATCTGCTTTCCTGGGTGCATTGAGCCTGCTAATTACATAAAAAAGTTCTGGAGGTTTCAAGATAAAGAATTTTATAGCAGCACTGCCTGTGACTTATCAGTAGAAAATTAAATTGCCATGTTAAGAAAGGATAAATCAGCTGGAGTTTAGCTCTTTCATTAACATTCCCATGGTAAGGCAACCTCTAATTTGTAATCATGTGTCTTTATTTTCTATAAAATTAAGTTTCAGTCACTGATTTCAGGCCTTATCAAACTACCTGCTAAACACCAGATGTGTTTTCTTTAGTTGTTGAAGAACACAGCATCTCTCTAATAAACTACCTTCCCCCACCTCGTCACGTTCAGGTAAGTGCATGTGGAATTTGAGTGGTTTCCAGCATTGTTTAATCCCTTAAACATCATTTGCAAGAGGCATGAAATATTGCTTCAGGATTTGTTCAGACCCTATCTGAAGAAATTGGAACACTTTTTGGACACATGCTGATAAATATGAAGCAACATTTAATACATAATAATTGACAGGTGCAACAGCATCTAGTGTGCCTCTGAGACAACAAAGAGGCCACGTGTGCTTATTATAGCTGGTGCTAATCCTTCCTCAGTGGTGCATATTCCTGGCAGTTCTCAGATCCATGCAGGAGTGGTGGTGATTTCCAGCCAGAAACACTCCTAGGCTGTGTCTGTCCATCAGCCTTGAGGACATATTGACAGAAACAGCTCCTACCTCTTGACCTCGAGGAATGTGCAGCTGGCCCTATCCATAGGACAATTATGGCTTATTATGACAACATTTTAGTTCTAGGACTGTCTCAAAAGGTCTTTCTTATTTTGAAATTACTGACTATTTATTCAGGTGACAGGAAAAAAAAGTTGCCAAATACCTTACAGGGCAAAATGACTGCATATATAAAACAATACAAAATTATAAACACACATATTTATTAAGAAAAGGTATTTTGCTGGATGGCCATTTATCTATTTTTTAGGTTCTTACACAACACAAGGTTTACTCATCTGACTAGGATTCACATCACAAAGTCTCTGTGCTCTCTTCCTCGTGTTCAGAGAGTTTTCAAGGACCAGTAGCTGAGACAGTCAAAACAGGACTGACTGCACAGACTTCCTGCTACTTTTTAGGGAGTATTTCACACTGCTTCCCATTTTAAACCTATCTTGAAAGTGGCCCCAAAATAGGAGGTGATGTTTCTGCAAAATAAAGAGGTGAGTAGCATAATCTATGATTTAAGTCACTTCAGCCAAAGAAAGGGCTTCTTTGGCTGTAATGACCTATTATGGATGGGTCTTTGATTCCTCAGCAGTACAGGGGAGGTACACAGCCAGAAACCTACAGGAAACAAACTGCCCTACACGATTTTAGAGTCCAGGGCACTGTAGCTTCTGCAGTTTCTTAAACTGACAGCTATTACTTTAGTTGCTCTCTTTACTTATTTACTCAAGTGTTTGGAATACTAAGTGATTCTGCATAGAAGAGTTGAGGGTAGCTAAGAGTTAGTTTGCATTTAAAACTTTTAGCGGGATCCATATTGACAAGAAGACACACATTTAAATTTCTACAGATGTCTGTATTTTTATGCAAAGGCCTATTGATTCACTGGGTAGGTGTACAATTCTCTGTTTTCTGTAGGATTTGGTGCCTGAAGTTAAAAGGAGGCAGAAAAATAAACATTTTAGTGCTTTCATTTTGCAGATTGGGAACTGAGGAATGGAGGAAGTACATTTCCCAACTCTGCAATCCTAAAATAATGTAAATAAGTAATAATGAATATTGGGAAACTAAGCTGTGGTTTCTATCCAATGGCAAGGGCAGTGGGATAACAAGCTCCGAAGTCAAAATGCCAAACTACAGCTGAACATAGCTTGAATATAGTTGAAAATTGATAAAAGACAACTTTATTTTAACAAAACCTGGGGCAGAACTACCTACAGAATACTTTTAACGCAGAAATACAAGTTTAGAGTAGTGGGGTGTTAAAGAGAGAAGAGCATGTATACAGTATACAGTGAGGAGAAAAGGAGAATAACAGAAATTAACATACAACATACTTGTCTCATATTCTCCTGTACCAGTTTTGTTGATTTTCCCCTTTTCTCCACTCAAGCCCAAAGGCAGTGTCAGCAGCCTGTGCGTAGCCCGGGCAGCACGCAGCTCTCCCCAGCCAGCAGCCAGCGGCTGTTCACTGGGAGCAGGTGTCCCCGCCGGCCGCTCCTGCCTTCCCGCCGCCCTGCCCCAGCCCTGCCGGGCAGCGCTCCCGGCGCCGAGCCAAGCCCCGGGCCCCGCGCCCGCCGGGGACCCGCGGGAGCCGCAGCCGTGCCGAGGGACGGACGGACGGAGGGGAGGAGGGGGCGGCCGGAGCTGCCCCCCGCCGCACTTACCGGGGCCGAGGAGCGCGGCCACGGCCATGGCGCTGCCGCAGGTGCCGGAGCGGGGCCTCAGGAGCCGAGCGGGGCCGCAGGTGCCGGAGCGGGGCCACAGGAGCCGAGCGGGGCCGCCCCTTCAGCACCGGCCCGGGGACAGCGCCCGCCGGGCCCGCCGCCGCTCCGGGCGCTCCGAGCGCGGCGCGGGCGGGGGCAGCTCTGATTCTCCCCGTGCAACGCTGCCCCTTCCTCTGCCCACCTCCTTCGGCCGGGGCACGGAATGACGGTTCCCACCTCCGGGAGCGGCCTCGGCTGCCACTGGCACACCCTCTGCTTACATTTCTTCTCTTGCCACAAACGCTGAGCCGGACCGCGTCCAGATGACACGCAGGGGTTCTTCGGCATCGTCCACAGGATCTGACACTCCCTCCGTACTTAGTTCTCCCTCATTTGATCTCCAGAGAAACTAGCAGAGCAGGTCTTTGGCTGCTGCCGATAAGCTCCTTGGAAAATGCCTGTTGCTATGTCCTATCGCCTCCTGTAAGCACTTTTCAACCCATTTTAGGAGTGAATTTGTTTTCATCTCAGATTTGGAATACAATCTTGATCACTTAAAGAGAGAGAAGACTTATGGAATATGTTGGATGGCAGACATGGGGAACAAATCCTTAATCTATAGTCTAGTCCCAGACAGGACTATGAGTGTAACCTCAGGTGTTTCACTAAAATACCTCAAAAAGCAGTTTGCCATACAAGCCAGCAGCTGACTTGGTACTTAACAATGGAGCAGTCAGCCATAAAGGATGCAATCATACACCTGCTGGCTCCAGTGTGTGTGCTTTGCTTTTGCAGTGGAAGGAGGAGGAAACAACAGATCCCTACTGATTTCCCCATGCTACTCATGAATCTTATTTTCACAATTTTTTAACTGTATTTCGTCCTTAAATGCCTAAACAAAAAGATGTCATAAAATTTTCAACTTAGCTATCAGAGAGACAGATATAGTAGTTGAAATCCTGTCCCTGCTGACAAAGCAAAACTTGACCCAAAATACAGATTTCAGACATTTTTCTTAGCTCAGGAAAAATCGATCTTGCCTGTAATTTCTCTTTTTATTTTATTTTATTTTACACAGATTTTTAGCTAGTTTTTTAAACTTCATTATTTATGTAAGTTCCTAATGACAAAATAACCAAATATTTGTTTGTGGGCTTTTTAATTGTTTGATAAATATATATTACTTCACCCAATATGTCCAACAGAAAAACCTAATTGTCAAGTAGAAAGAACAGCCTGAGAGATTAATGTAATTTTAGCTGTGAGACAAATTCTAGGTTGGAAAGCTAAATTTGTCTTTGCTTTGAACCACTGTAATATGCAGCAGTAGGTTATGATACGTCATTGAGTGAGGGCTGACTTAATGTTTGGTGTATTCTCCATCCTATAAAACACTCTCCAGGTCAATAACACATATCAGTTTTACTAAAATCAGAGAATGAGATGGTTCTGTCTATTTAGTCCAGAAGCAAAGGAAAAACATTGTGGTTTTGGAGGCGGAGACAGGGAGATATTATCTTGCATTCATTGTGACTGCAAGGCACAAGCTTATCACTACAGTGACAACAGTAAAGGAGAAACAGGTCAGGATATCAGACCTTCAAGACTGTGAAATATGTTGAGAGACAAAGCACCAGAATGATGGTGGCACAAGAACTCATATCTGCAGGAAAAAATATGCTGTGATTTAAACCCTATGTTTAATGCTGCTGTGGACAAGCAGAAACAATGGCATGAGAACTCCATTTCTCCATTTATCTCCATTTCAATAGTGGAAATATTAGAATAAAAAAGCAGCTAGAGGTAGCAAAGCCCAGTTATGGCTCAGATTTTAGATAACTTTCAGAATTTATATGCTGGATAAGAAATGTTCATTCATTATAGCCTCTCTTCTCACAGCTATTTCTATCTCCATTGCTGGCTATTGCTCACTATTTGGTTTATTTCTCCTAGGGATTATTTTAATAAAAAAAGGTATTTCTTGAATTTTTTAAAACAAAAGAAATAAAAGAATAATAATATTTTCATCAAAAATATTTATTTTTGAATGAAAAACCTTTTCATAAAAATAACCAGATATTTATCTTGATAACCATATTTCACCAATATTTAGCTTGATGGCCACAGTCTCTGGCAAAAATTAGTTATGCTCTCTAGCTATCCTTAGAATTTCAAATCTGATGTAACATCTGATTGTATAATTTGTCTCTGAAAGATATGCTCTTTACTCCATAGAAATTGTCCAGAGAAAACCCAGAATCATTTGCTAATGAATGTCTCATATTTTATTTATATTCTCCACACAAAAAGTACTGCTAAGTTAAAGTTGTGGTTAAAAGAAATTCCTAGAAATGTTGGAACATTTTAATTCTGGAGTTCTGGGTGAAAATAAGAAAAGATAAAAAAGAGAATCAAGATGTGCTTTCTCTTACAAAGACAAAATTAAGGCCAGAATCTCCCTTTCTAACACAGCACAGAACACCTCCAAAAACTGCCACTGATCTTTAGTGGCGTTCTTGCCTCAGAATGAACTCAGCTAACACAGTTTATCCCCCTGGCATTAAGGTAGCAGCAAGAAGAATACAAATTGTGTCAGCAGGTGCTATTCACCCCCTCTTTAGAAAGATGCTAGTTAGGATTTGTCCATGAGCAACAATATTTTGATTTCTTCTTTGCTGGCCCAGGTTAGGAGTACTGAGACCTTTTCCTCTCTGTCTCACAGGGATCTGGGGAACACACCTGACAAGGCATAAGAATTTTTTTGGCCTTCCACAGTGACCCGTGACCTTTTATGTTTGAAAAAGATACATACTCCCCTCTTATGCTGTCCAAGCTTTCTTAAATAACCTTTGCTTTCTACACTTTTTCTCCTTCTTCAAGGATAAAAATACATCTTCTGAAATAAAAATATAGCTTTCCCAAATTTGGTCATAATAGACATTTTTCAACCATGGACTGAGATATTTTATGTCTCAAATAAATGATTGCTGATAATTATTTTGCAGCTGGGTTGCCATACTAGCTTTTAACTTTATGACTATTTATTTGCTTATAACTAAACAAAAGAAAAGCTTAGAGGACATCTGAAATTCCATTTCCCCATATCTGTAATGTTTTAATTCAGCAGGTGTTTGTTAAATTATTTCAAATTATATAGAAAAAATATATATCTTGTTCAACACTCTTTAACAATTCTGCATTTTCCATGGTTGAAGAGAAAAAATAGTTTTCTTATGGTAAAGGAATTGCAATAGCTATGAAATCAAATCCTGCTGTGCTTTCCACAGTTATTTGGGTTTTATTTTTCTTAGAAGAGATGAAGAACAATAATTTCTTAAAATAACATTGATATAATAGCTATACTTAAAAATTAAGCTTACACATTCAAATATTGAAAATCCTATTATTTTATTTGATATTTAAACATTCTGTCCATTTAAATATTTTTCTTTATTCTTTTTTAATTAAAAAAAGAGTATTCTCCTTTTTCTCTCTAAATAGAAAACTTTAATATCCAAATGAATGCAAATCCCTTTCTCTCACTTAACAGCAATGAAAATTAGGAGGGATTGCAACAATGTCAAGTAAAACAGCTGTTGGGGAAGGCTAAAGCATAAAGTGATTGAGCACTTCATAAAACTATAGTTGCCATGATAGATAATACATTGCATGACATTAGGTCAAAGAAAAACCTAGAAAAACATTTACAAAAGGTAATCAAATAATACCTGGTCAATTAATAATTGGCTTTATAGAAACATTTGAATACATAAGACTGTCTTCTTCCTATGCCAAATAATTTTTAATAAAAAAGTCCTCCCTCTCATCTTACCTATTCTTTTGAAAAACCTAGACTGAAATGCAAGAATAGTGCCACAGGGAAATTGCATCTCAGGTTCTCATAATTAGCCTTTTTCTAACCAATAGACCACATTCTTCTAGAAGACTAAGTCTCCACTGATGCACCATGTTCATCCTTTAAGAAGAAAAATACAATACATAGTAGGCAGCTCCAGGCCAGAGAGATTACCCCATAAATAGCTATATAGATCTAGAATTGATTGTATCTTTAGTTATAAATGGCAGTTGAGAGAGAAGTCATGAAAATGAAAGACAATTAATGTTCCCTACGTTAAAGATTTTCAGAGATCGTCTGGAGCAACACATACACATTATGGACTAAAATGAGCTACCAAAGTTAAAATGTTCAGTCCTTCAGAGGTGCTGACACTTGTTATTCCTATTGGCCTGAGCAGGAAATTTGAGCCTATAGCACCTTTGAGCATCACATAGGTTTTATTTAAATGGTTACTTTTTAGGCACTCAAATCTGAAAAAAATAAAAGGCCGTTTAAGTGTAATCTTATGAAAATATGTGACTTTCAGCACTTTGGATTCACATCTTAGAAGCAAGTCTGTACTTAGAAAAGTAATGCAGACTCTCCCCACATCAGTCTGAAGTGAAAGTTCCATAATAAACATAGAACTTACTACAAGTGGATTTGCAGAAAAAGAAGTGCAAAGTAATGCCAGAATATCACTAGTGCATAAGTAAGCATTCTTTGTACATGAATCAATCATTTATAGAAAGAGGATATAAATAAATGATGTTTGAGCTTTCTTTCAAATACTTAGATTTCTTTATATGATACATTTTGGAACATTTCACAGCATCTAAAATATATAAAAATAAATATCTACAATATGTACAAAGTATGATACAATCCAATCTTTAAAAAGAATTGTAAAGACATCTTCTTTAGCTCATACTGAGGTAAGTAGGTTTCTGTAAGACTGAGAAAAAAGAGGATAGGCAGTTATTTTGAAGGAACCCCTTTGTCCAGTTGTAGTCTGTACCACATGTAAAAGCATGTGACACTCTGTGGCAGTTGTAGTGTATTGAGCCAAAGTCATCCTTGCTGTAACTCCATCGAAGTGAGTTTAGTTATGCTAGGGACAAATTTATCCCACTCTGCATTCTCTGGTTTGACAGTGTCTTCTGCAGAAACCCTCATGGCTTCATCTATGTTTGAAGTCATGTTCATCCCGGGTATGTGGAGATGCAGCTCTGCTGACTTCAATGGGCTGAGCATAGCTGGGATATCTGTAGATAAAATAAAGATTTTAAATAATTTCACTGCTTGTATCAGGTGGCTGGCTAACTGACTCTCTGATTATCTCTCTCTGAACACTATGCAGGTGATTATCTATTAATAAAATGGTCTTCCAGAAAATGTTTCAAATTGCATTTGAAAATTTGAAGTGAAAGCTTCCTGACTGAAGACTAAGGGCATTTCTGATGCATAAATCTTGATTTTTTAACTTTTCAACATTTTCATGTGTTCTACTTATTAATATTTACTATTTAGTAAATTGCCCTGTGGTTCCTTATCCAGATGTCTTTCTGACCAGCAGAGCACCACAGCTTCCTCTTTATAAGTCTGTCATGGAATCATTGATGGTTTGGGTTTGAAGAGACATTTAAAGACCATCTAGTCTAACTTCCCTGCCATGAGCAGAGGACAGAGAGAAGAGAATAAATGAGAAACAAAGGGTAAAACATAATTTATAGCCACACTGTCATATGAGTTTCATATTTGTAACTTTGCTTGTGCTGTACATAAAGGAATGGCAGTACTACTGAATTCAGGTGAAAAACCCCATTCTTTCTACATTAAATGAAAAGTGGCTTCCCAGCTGTTCCTGAACACATGCAATAGCTTACCATGAAAAAGAACAAAAAATTTTGGAAAATAAATTAATATGAATTTCTTTATCCAAAGAAAATATTTGTATAAAATATGACTGCTTTGCTCCCTAGCTATCTGCAACACGACTTGAAAGAAATGTGAGAAATTTTCTTCCCTCATTATATAATCAAAGTTATGGCATATTCTCTAAAATATTTATTTTAATTTTCTTTTCTTGCAGTCAGTTCTTAATTTTAAACACCCTTCTCTCTTTGTGCTCAGATCCCAATATTGATGGATGCAGAATTAGAATTTACTTCTATGGGATCAAAAGGCATAGGGACCAGTATACTAACAGTGGGTAATAGATGCAGTACCATTTGATGGAATTGTGTTTATGTTGGTCAATACAACGTGTTCTGAGAGTTTTGAAACGTTATCAAAATTGCTGATCTGGGTGGTCAAGGATTTCCGACTCTCTGTACTGGCACGACCTCTGTTGAACCGTTCGTCATGGTGGCTGCGAATGCCAAAGATGCAACAGGAAAATGCTGCTTTAAATTCTTCTCTAAATTTCCCTGTCAACCACAAAAATGACTCATGAAAAAATTGTACTATAAATCGCATTTCATCAAACTTCATATATTCGGATATAAAGGAGTTATCTAAAGCAAAATTAACGTGAACCACCCAGATGCTCTTCTAATGCAAAAGCAGAAAATCACAGTTTAATCATCTTGGAGGAAGACAGAAAAAAGACAACCTTTCTAATAAGACATGTGAGGTGTGATGTGAAGACAGAATTATTCTTGGCTAGACAGAATGGACAAACTAGAATGATTAACGAAACCACCTCATAGATAGTCTGTTGATTATTTACGTATGTAACAAAAAAATAATTGAGCAAATATAGGCTTGAATGATTGAATCCTTACTTGATATGTGAAATGAGAGAGCATGGCTAATTTGTGTTTTATCATTAATAGATTTTAGAAGAAGATTCACAATTTTGACAATCCCATGCTTTTGGGGCTCAGAGAAAATTGTTCAGATCATTCTCATATTACAAACCACAAAAAAAACTACAGTGGGCCAATATATAGTGAGGATCAATAGAGTTTTGCCTCCCTGTATTTAGCTGCAATACTACCAGGTCAGCTCCTCATTCTGCTCTCCAAGCCAAATGACACAAATACAAACAATGAGAAATGTATAATAGTAAGTAAACAGCATCCTGGCTTGTTTTTGAAGTTGACCCTACTTGGCACAGTCTGGCCATGCAGGTACTGTTAAAGACTCACAGCCTCCAAATCCCAATACTTGGATATAACACGCCAGCTGGGGAGAGCCCCTGGACTGTGCTACCTGCCAGAGAGCATCCAGGAGTGTTTAGAGAAATGGTAATTGTTTCAGATCAAAGTCATGCCAGGAACTTCTCTGCCACATTAATGTCATACTCTAGCTCTTGGACTCAGGCCCTGGCACACTCCAGGTTACTTTTTGGTAGAGAGCCTGAGGGTAATGGGATACTTCAGGTAACTTCTTCTAGGAAGAGGATCTAGCTCCCACTGGAGGAGCTGAGCTGAAGTTACACGGTCATTAATTTTTGCTATGGTTCATTACATTCAAATTATACATTAAACTTGAATTCTAGGTAACAGTAACTTACCACTGAGGAAGTTATAAATAATAGGATTGGCGGCACTGTTTGCGTATACAAGCCAGTGTGAGAATGTGAACCAGGCATATACAGTTTCTCTGTCATCAGCATGATTAAACATCCCCAAAACCCTACAGAAAGAGAAAAGCAAACCTGAAAGATGGCAAAATTAGAATTCATTTAAAAAGATTTTACAACTTGTAGCCTGATATTATCTCTGATGACCTATTTGCAGTACCACAAAAAGGCTGATTCAGCAGTGCTTTCTTACTTGAGAAAAGAAATCCTCTCCCCAGCCCTTAGCCTCCTATCTTGGTGGTTTGGCACAACTGAGACTTTACCATGGTGAAGATGCACAAGTTTTCTGCCAAGTAACTAAAGTCATCTGGTGTCAGATAAGCCAAGAAAAGACAGGAAAAGTTGCTTTTGATGCACTTATGTTACTGATCTTCCTGGCTCTAGGCCCACTCTCCAAGACACTCTCTAGCCACTCTCCAAATATCTCTGGAATTGAAAAGGCACTGAACTGGCCCCAAACCTGAGGCTACTGTAGCAGTTTCTGCCCTCCAGAGAAATCTGCATTTCCCAGACTCCTTATGCATTACTTCTGACATTCACATGAAAATCTAACCCTGGGCCTACTCTGCTATTGTTGTTGATGTAGCCTGCGTATTTCCTCTGTTTCATGCTCTAGGTGGCATGCACCATCTTCTGGAAATCGTTTTCTCTCTAAATTTTCTACTTGAGAATGAAAAGTATTTAAATTAGGCCTCAGGGAAGGGCCAGAATTGAGTAGGATCTGTGTAAACCTTGAAACTATCCCTTAAAAACTAAAATGTTCCAATAGCACTCCAATTAAAAAAGCACTAATAACATGCTCATTTTTTCTAGGATATTCAAATCTTATGCTATGTGCCATTATTTATTGGTATTCCAGAGGACTCATGAGGTGTAACTTTACCAAAGCCTCAGTCTGTCAGGCACTGTACAAAAACCAAGAGTGTACACAATCATATCCGAAATGCACAGAGAGAAAAAGATAAGAAGTTCAAATACAGCTTCATAGGACCAATGGAAGGGTTAGTCTAAGGTCTCAAAACTGTACATGAGTAGCTTAGGTTTGAACTCAGCATTTCACAGTCCTTGGAGCCAAGCCACAACATTGCACTCTGCTGCTAACCTTCAGCTGCTGCTTTAGGTGATTGCACTTCCATGGGGGCATTTACAGCAAACAAGCTGCAATCCCACATAAATGATCAGGTTTAATGAGGAGATAGGTTAGATCATTTTCATGAGGAAGATCTTGTTAATAAGAGTTCCACAATCTGGCCTCTAGTTTAAATACTATATGTTATATATATACATATATATATATGTTATATATATTATTTTCTTGCAATGCTATGCTTATTTTCCACTTCTTTATCATGCAATAAGTAAGCTTATCCTTCAAAAGTATCTGTCAGAATAAAAGGAATCTTTTAACAGAGAATTCTGGTTTTAGACAGAAAGCTTTACCAAGTGTTTATATTTGGAGATAAACTTTACCTTTTCAAGACATTAAGGATGCTAATTGGTAGGTAGCAAAGTGCAAAAACCAGAAGGACGACCATTAGCATACGTGCTGTTTTCCTTCTTGCACGAATCTGTTTTATTTCAGCTGCCACAGCACTAATCTTTGACTTTGTTGATTGTCCCAGCCCTCGGGGCTGTGCTGAAGGCTGCTGAGGCTTCCATTTCTTCTGAACAACAGAAGAAGTTCCTGGGATCTAAGGCAAACAAAATAAGGGGCATTTTGAAAAACATTTTAAAAAACCAATTTTGTCTGCAGATATAACAAGACAAATAGACACCTTGACATACACAGTGTAAGCTCACAGGGATAAAAAGGATTTTTAAATTAATTTAATTCATGTAGCTGCAGGACAAACTGAATTTCAGACACACAAGAGGGACTGCATAAAAAATTGTATTTTATACACAGATATCAACTGATGTCCTCAAGTTTTCTTTACTTCCCACATACCTTGCCTTGCCTGCATCTTCAGACTATCAACATAACCAACCCTATTGCTGCAGTTACGTTGCTTTAAAGTTCTACATTAAATGTTTTGTTGTATAGCAGAGTAGTTTTCCCCATTAATATGCTGCTAATATAAGATACCAAACAGTTTTTCAGTACTTGAAAACATGGATTTAAAGCCTGCATAGCTTTAGGTGCCATAAAACTTCCATACATGCAACCCATATGACAGTGAAGTAGCTAAAGAAATAATCACAGCTGAAGTGTGGATCTCTCTGCAAAGTTCTTCTAAACTGAGGGAAATCATGGAAAAGTGCCAAGACACAGGAAGAATTAGATTAGTCAAAGACATGCAATGAGTTGCATGTAGGACCATGCTATTAAAAAAAAAGGTTTTTTGTTTTCTGTGCCCTCACATAAGACAAGCCAAGTAAAACCATTTTGCTTCAGTTCTTCTAAATTACTTCCTGCCTGCAGCAAAATGTGAAAGACTGTAGATGTCAAGGAGTTTCTCAGAGAACTCTATTACAATTACATTTATAATATTTTCAATGTCATACAGTGTGACAACTTTTTGGCTAGAAATACAGTTTTATTTCTGTGTAGTACAACTGTGTGTAGGGTGACTAATCTCATGAGAAATATTTCAACTTCAAAAGTATCTGAAAAGTTCACATTGTCTATTGTAACTTTTTTTTTTTCTAACTAGGGCTTATCCAGACAAACTGACCAGAAAATTATGAAAATTTAGTACTTATTTAAGAAAGATAAAAGTAAGATAAAAAGCATGCACATTCAGAATTGTTTAAGAAAACCTACTATGTTGTGGTTTTGTGGGGTTGGGTGGGGGTTTTTTTGTTGGTTTCTGTTTTGGTCTATTTATTTATTTGTTGGCTGGGGTGGGAGTTGTGTGTGAATATCTTCAGACAACCCCTTAGTTCAGCATTCATGAACACACCAAACATGATTTACAACTATTGGAACATTTTGGCAAAGTTGCCATGTAATGAGCAGAATATCCGTTAAGCAAAACTGGGGATAAATTCTAACATTTAGTTTTTACTCATGTATCCATGGATTTAAAACAACTCAGCCCCTTGCACTTCTACTGTGGAGTCCCACTCACACAGCTGAAATCAGCAATTCCCAGCTTGACAATTGCACCTCAGTACTATTGCAAGGGATTTGCCCTACTTGGCTGTGGGGTGTAGCAGAGAAGTGATAGAATGAAAGGAAATTGTCTCAGGTTAAGCCAGGGGAGGTTTAGATTGGATATAAGGAAAAATTTTTTCACAGAAAGGGTAGTCAAGCCTTGGAGCAGGCTGCCAGACAAGTGGTTAACTCACCACTCCTGGAGATATTTAAAAGACAAGCAGAGGTGGCACTTTGGGACAGGGTTTAGTGGGGAACTTGGCAGTGTTATGGTTGTTATGGTTGAATTCAATGGTTGTTATGGTTGAATTTAATGTCCTTAAGGGCCTTTTTCAAGATAAATGTTTCTATGATCCTGTGATTCTTTATGTACAAATATACACAAATGTACACATGGGAGCATAACGCATATATTTGCTTGTTAGTAATTAATCAGTCAGAGAGATAATTTTGAAGCATTTGTGTAATTCCAACATTTTATGAAAAGCCTATTAGCTGTGAATATACAAGTACTAAAATTTAGAGTTTTACTTTCTTATGCACCTTTTTCTCTACCCCCTCAGATAGTTATCAAGGGGTTTACAACCAAAGAAAATTTCTCAAATGTAGTATCAACTTGCAAAGATTGGGAGGGTACATTTCAACTACTAAAAAGAAAATGGATAAAATTCCTAATTATTAATTCAAATGTGCTTTAGTGATAATGCATTCAGACATGAGGAAATTGAAACGTACTAGGAACTTGATATTACAAATTATGTATCAACATTTTCATCATATTCAGTTCATTCAGTTCTGTTTGTACAGAAGCCATTTTTAATCAACTTAAAATCCACACAAGAACATAGACTTCTAAATTACTACCTCCTTACTAATAATTAAAATTAATTACTCAAAATTTATAGTATTTTTGCATGATTGTACTTGTCGTTATAAAAGTGAGTCATTAATTCAAAGGTCTGCTTGATTTATACAATCAGAAATTTTAAGAGCTATTACACAAAGTATGGCAATGATAACTTGTAATTCAGTCTTGTCTTTTTCATTTGAAAATTTGCATGCACAACACATTACATTTAAAAAAATAACCTTTAGAAAAAATATAGGGCATAGAAAGCATCTACTGTTAGCTGTTTTTTCTATCATGTACATCTGAAAGGCTCATTGTACCTTGCAATAAGATCCCCATATTTAACTGAATTTCTGGTAAACAGCATGATTCTTTATTGAAACTGTTACCAAAGAACACATTTAGAGCACTTCATTAATTTGTGCTACATGACTGATTACAGCACACCTGCTGCACCTAGAAAAGGGCCTGATGCCTGCAGCCAAGTCATAGCTGATAATAGATGTGCAGTGGTTTTAATTTCACTTACTGCAGCCTCTTATACATAGTGCTATCATCTAGGCCAGGCAGAGAGACAGCTGTAATTTGGCACCACTGATAGCACTAAGCCTGTAGTAGAATTTCTCTTTTTGTCACTGAAAAACAAAGGATCATCCTAACCTTGCCAGCGTGAAAGATGAATAGGAAGAAGAAACCTGAAGAACAAATAGACCAGCTAAAACTACTGGGGAGTGGAGGTGGGGGAGCCCCAAAAAAAAGGTTGGTTTTCAGTCATTCAACTTCTGCTCTGCATCTGAGCCAGCCATTTCAACTATGTGTAGGTTAAGAACAACTGCTTTGCATTAACTTAGTTAATGCAGAGTTTGAGAGGCTAGGCAGATTGTAAAGAAGAGAAGGTTGAGAAGGATTATGGTGATAAAGTCATTGGGTGATACAGGACAGATTCAGCAAGGCAGAGGATATTAGAACTACGTTTAGACTGGACTTAAAACTAAGCAAGAAATCCTTTGCTCTGGAAAAGAGTCCCCTCAAACTGTAAAGGTTAAATTTAATCTCCAAGCCATCTTGTTATTTAATCTTATCAACCTAAGAAATTAAAAGCAAAAATAATAATTTAAAGCTGACAAGCAGGATAAACAGCAATTCTGTTTTAACCTAATCTGATTAGAAGTGACGAAAATTGCTCTCATGACTTATGGACGATATCAAAAAGCCTTAAAGTGGATTTGGTATTTCCTGTATATGAGTTACTTGTGAGAGATATATTCTGTCAGTATAAGATTTGATTTTTAATTTTATGCATATTTAGAAATACAAAGTCTATTTGTGATTTCTCTGATGAATCATTATGAACTGCATGAAAAATATTCCTGATGGGGCAGGTATTATCCAGTGCCCAGTACAGCCTCAGAATTGAATGGTATCAAACATGCTGGTGAGAGAGAAGTGATTCATGCCCATATGTTGATGGAAATATGAACTATGTTAGAGCCACTTGAGATGGAATATCTTGCATTATTTCTTCAACAGGATGAGTATTTTGTCCTTTTCAGAATGACAGGGCAGCTGGTGGTGGACTACAGCTATAGATAAATCCTAGACAAAGCAGAAGACATCAGAGAGCACCACAGACAGGTGCATGATAAATTACAGTTCACACACACAAAATAATTTTTTTAAAGGTTCCTGAAAAAAACATACATCATTTTGCCACTTAAATTCAAATGTTCTTTGTTTGTTTGCCTGCTTGATGGGTTTTTTGTTTTGTTTAGTGTTCTTGTTTTCTTTCCTGTATTTTTTATTTGAATCTTGAAAAAAAAAATATGTTTACACTAGAAATTGTGTCAATTATTTTTATACCAATTCACATCAAATGTTATTGGTAACAGCCAGCTTCACATCAGGAAATTCCAGTCTCCCAGTACTGATAGGTGGACCTTCAAGTTTAAATTTTGTTCAGATTGGACCTGCCATCAACCTGAGTAAGGAAAATAATAATAAAACTAACAGAATGAGAAGGTCAATCTTAAATTTTGACTGCTACAGGAGATTTTAGCAGTATAAATAAGGTCATCTAAGGTATTTTGGCAAGCATTTCAGATACAATCAGTACATTCAAGTGAGAGAGATTTTCCTTCTACCTATAATCAATTTTTCTGATGCCTTTTGCTTTCTTTCTCTCTAAGAGAAAGCCCTTCGCAGACACATGAAACTGTTTACTTTGGCTGCCTTCATTTTTCATGACATCTCAATGCCTCTCCAAGGTGGCTGTATACCTGCATGGATGGAAAAATCAAATTCCTAAGCGACAAAATGGAGTTTATAAAGGGAGAGGTTGTACCTGGGAATCTGCACAAAAAAGAGCAATTAAACAGAGGCAGTGCTGAGTGACTTACCTGGCGACACCACAGCTTCCGGAATATCTGCAAATAGGCCAACACCATAAGACACAGTGGTGCCATGTATGTCACCAGAAAAAAGCATGTGTGATACATTTTGGGGTAAACCTCAGCTGGAAAGAGAATTCAAATAGGAAAGGTGCATTTACATATACATACATTTCAAAATCACCTTAAGAAAAATTATTCATATAGATATGCATGTATTTTTCAACATAACAGGAAGATGTACCAAATAATATTATGGTCAAGATTGGTTTTTTAATCTCTTCTAGATACATTCTATCAGAAACATGCTTTTTATTTCAAGGATCTCCTATATCACATTACAGATTCCTTATCATATTATTACTTTAGGTATGGAGTGTCAAGTTTTACTTTTTGTTAAAACAGTGATGGATTAATTTTGTTATCTAAAAATGAAATATTGACTAGAAGTGAAAAATTTTTCTATCTAAAAATATGTAAATAATCATCCAACCTACCTCATCCTTGACATATTGAAAGCTTGTCTGTCATTAGTTTTAATTCTGCAAAGGCTACTACGTATCCCTGAGTAAACTGCACAATCCCTCACCTACAAAGACTGCAACTGCAAACTACAGCACACTGATGGGAGGAGAGACACACATTCCATAAATCACTCGTTGGTGGCAGAATATATCTGATTAAGACGCAGTAATTAATTATTATGATTAAATTTTAAAAATAGAATCAGTACATTCAAGTGCTTTAAACCTAGGAAATCTCCGAGATGGTTTTAAACTCAGATTTAACAATAAAGAGTTTGGTACTGTTGTGTTTTAATTTCCCATGTATCTCTTTTCAAAAGAAAACTTATGAATGTTATTTGCTTAGAGCAAATATCTTAGAAGTGCTGTGCCTGTATTGAGTTTTAATAATGTTGCCTCTTAAGCTCCATCAGTAGTTTACACCAGAATGTGCAGTGCCTGAAAACTTGTCTTCTATTTTGTAACATTAAGTGTAGTTTGCTATTACCAACTGTTGGTATTAATTACAACTTAACATCTGTGGATGGCCTCAGAGAAGGAATGAACATTTTGGACAGTAACAACACATAGCAGAAGAGAAACTGCACCCCATGAACAGTTAAATTGCAAGGTAACACTAAGCATTTCATCTTGGATAAAGAAGGAAATTTTATTTTAATTTCCAGAATTTCCAAATGTTTCAGGATGATAAGATCTGCAAGAGAAATTCTGTACTGATTGCTTTTTAAATTAAAAAGAAAAAAAGAAAAAAGAGGGAAAAAAGAAAAGAAAAAAAAGATTTGCATGAGAGCAAAACTTTGGTGCACCAAATTAATTTTCTGCCTGTTAAAGTGACTGAGACTGTGGACCCTATCAAAGAAGAGCATGCCAGGAGAATTTCAGAGCTTGTTCAGGCAAAGATAGACAAAGACTTGCCCCACCACTCTGATAGTAGGGAACAGAACACCATAATGTAAATTCCAGATTCACTCAAATGCAGACTCAGGTAATCCCACACTTGCCATTGGACCTGAAAGTGCCTGCTGGTACACCCAGAAAACCTTCAGTATGAAGGGGATGGAAACTTGCTACAGCAAAATCCAGCCAATGTTCATTCCCAGCAAAGGTAATAGAGATGCTGCCACTGACATTTGATAGTTTTGATACATCAGGGTTCAAAAAATTCAGATGAGTAGTATTTGACTTCTTACTTGCTCTAAGATCCTGTAGCAAACCAACTTACCACCTCCTAACTAGCAGCTGCAGCTACTACCTCTTATCAATGCCCCTGGGGTAGCCAGACCATTTGGGGCAGGTTTATTATAATTGGCATTAACCTGAGATTATATGTTGATTGATGATCTCAAACTTGCTTTGCATTCCAGAAAATGCAGCTTCACAGCAAGCCTGCTAGCCAGGGAAGTACTGACATGCATGCTCCACAGGTGGAGAGATTAAGGAGCAACTGGAGTACCGTGGCTTACTGGGATCACAGGAGGTCAGAAGTGAAAGAACATTCTTTCTGCTCAGGAGGAGGTGCCACCTGCCTCATCAGTGCTCTGCTGGCAGCCGGGCCCCTTTCAGGTGGAAGGACGGTACATATTTAAAAGGCCATCTGGAGTTTATGACTTCCAATTTAGCATTCCAAGTAAAGTAAAACATTAAATGAGCCTAGCTATCTACAAAGAACTGAGGACCAGGTTGGAGGAAGATCCTAACACTTGCCTTTGAAGTTTAGCCACCTGGAAAGTGCCAGCTGCTAAACATCAAAGGAAACCTGTCCCTCCTCCACCCAGGGCAAAGCCCTTTGCAGAACTTTTCCCTAAGAAACATGACTCTGTTTAGCTTCTCAAGCCAAAGAAAAGCTTTAAAGCTGTTTGACAATCCCAGCAGCAAGAAGGAGGAGGGCTGGCTAAAGATACTATTCATTTATCAAGTGAGTTCCAGGCTCCTTGAATGCAAACATCAATCAGTCTGTGGTCCTGCCTGACTGGGACAGCTGAAACTCTTACTGCCAAGCAGAGGAGGAGAAAAGGGTCCTTGCCTCCTATGGTCACATAATGGACTTCAGGACAGGGGGAGAGTGTTCTTAGCTGAAGTAGCCACCTCTTTAAGAATGAAACAATGACTCTCATGCCTCTGGCTGCTATTCTACTGAAAAGAGAGAATAAAACATAAAGCAAACAGGTGGCCATAGGGGTTGGACTGGATTCAGATCAGCATTCCTACTCAGCTTCATTCATACACTGTAATTACCCCACCTGATAAAGGATCAGTATGTTAAATTGAGCTTTCATCTGTCTACTGCAGGGGTTATTAAACATATTTAAAATTTTTCTAAAGCTTCCCTCTCCACATGGTCTTCCAGTCCCAGCCTGAAATTGGTAGATTGAAACTGCAGCTTCTGGATTTTTGCCAGAATTTTACTATATTTGTGTAAATACATATATACATACCTGTATACATATACATATGTAATCAAATTGAAATAAACACTCAAAAAGTTTTGATATGTCTAGCAAATGAAATGGTCCCTTTAGCCATAGTGCTTAACAAAATTGGTACTCCTGACAGCTTCCTTAAGAATAGGGAAAATCAGGACTATCAAGTTTGCTGAGCATCAGTAGAGTTCCCAGGTTCCCTACTCTCAGGAAGATACCCGTTAGGTTCTGGAGTTACCAACAGAGAGAAGCAATGCAACTAAAAGTGTACATTTTAAAATAAAGCTTAATAATCAGGGACGTTAGGAAGTGGGTGCCTATAGGACAAAAAAATCAAACACATAATGCAGTGCTTCCAAGCTAAGTTCCTCTGTTAGAGTACTTAGGGCTAGCTAATACTAAAATTACATGTTGAAACTGAATATATTGTGCTTGACTTATCAACTTACAATAACACCCAGCATAATTTTAGTATTTGAAATATCCTAACTTCCTTCTACATTAAAATATGCCAAGAGTTTTTCATTAAATTATGAACACTTTGATAAACAGGATGTATAAATCTTCTTGTAGTACTGCAATTTCCAGCTATTTGTTTTCCAGAATTAAGACAATGTGGTTTTGTACTATTGCATGAATACTCTAAGAGGAAAAGGAACACAAAGTCTTCCCTTTGTTTCCACTCAGCCATTTAGTTTTGGGAAAGAATTGTCTCCATATTCTTTTTATCATTTGCAAAGGGCTTGGCTAATGAACTTTGGCTAACACTCTCTTCTTGAACAGCTCTAAGACAATGTACTTAGCTGACTTGGACACATTTTAATATACATTTCTTTTATTTTGGCACTTTATCATCAAATTCAGCACAGCAATTACAGACTATTATAGAGCTGTGGCCAACTCTGGCTCCTTAAGTGAGCCTGCATAGGTCACATGTTAGATTCTTCTGCATTCCCAAATAAAATATTGTTATTAGACAGTACTCAAGATGAAAAACCCTCGGCCTAGAACTGGCAATGAATTTTACATTCAGGAATGCCAGAAGCAATTATAAAGAAATTGAGCCCTGTTCTAGGCTGAACTACTGTTCCATTTGCAGCCACTGGCAGCTTTCCAACAGCATGCTCAAATCTTATTAGTCAGGGCGGCGACTATTTGTTCACCATCGAGGAGCCCAGGTGTCACAGTACTGACCAGACCTTCCCTCCAGACTTCCTGATCAGAACTTCCCTCATCAGACTTTTATGGTCTCCAGCAGCTGGTCCTAAGTCTGTGTAGGGTACAGTGCTGTCCCCTGCTTTGGCATCTCTGACATCTTCCTGGACATGGCTTTCAGTTACTCTTCCGTAGCACCTCATGCTTCAATGGCCCTGGGGTCCCAGAATTACAACAGACTTCCAAAACATTTTGGAAAGTGTTATTAAGCATCCTCTTTTTGCAGTCCCAATCTTTAACATTCACAGTTTAACAGCCTCAGAACATATGGTGTACATGATATTCTGCAAAGATTTTTATCTGACGTACTGTAATTTTAGACAGCATTAATTGTATGCAGTTCTAAACAAAGCAATAAACACCCAAAATACAATCTCTTTCTTGAAATTGGTTTTCCTATAGGATTTTCTCAGGGTCTCTTGAGTGTATGCAACATCTACTTCTCCAGTTTCTCTTTGCAAATATGGGTTATTTGTAGCAGCATTAATTTATTTCTCCTTCAACATCCTCCTAGATAGCTCTTTCTTTGACCTTCTATATTTGCATAGTCAAAAGAGGCAAAACAAAACCCAACAACAATGTAGCCATTTTCTTTAAAAATATTAGCTTTTTATTTCTTCTTCTAGCTTTAAGGCTCACCATTCTTTTCAAACCACTGCCTTACTCTTTTCTTTTGTTCTTTTTTTTGTGGGCCTTTATGATTTCAAACCCTATTTTTCAGTAGAAAAACTGCATATTCTATGCTTTGAACTAACTCAGAGTCCTTAGAAACTTTCAAGAGAATGGAAATTATTTTTAAATTACACTTTATTTGCTATAGTCTGAAAGTGATGTGTGTGTATATATATATATATATATATAAAATCCTCATTGATAAAATACGGTTAACTCTACTTTTACTAGGCAATTCCATGATTTTGAGAAATCTGCTCATAATTTAATGCATATAAAGATTCTTCTTTCAAGTTACTATGATAAGCTATTATTAGAACATGGAGATTTTTTAAGGATATCTGAAATGCACCAGCAGAATAACTAGTAATGATGGTGCATCACCATTGGAAGAATTATTTGTTTCAGCAAGATAAAAATAGGATTGTTATCTTTCAGTGGAGTAAAAAGTTTCCCATTTCAGAAAACTTTTTAATATAACATTATTCTTTTCATGCTCAATATAAATAATTTAAAAAATTGGAGTGTTTGTACTCCCTTTCTGAAGCCAGACACAGAAAAAATTGATTCTATACACAAATAGACTTGCCTTTATTATAATCCCCTCTATCTCTCCAAACATCCAAGTGAAGGCTCACATCATAACCTGAAGATCAGTAGATTTAAATACACACTCCATAGGAGTAGAGTCTTGCAAGCACATGGGAATTTGGGTTGGTTGTTTCTTGTTGAGGTTGTTTTGAATAGTGGGTGCTTCAGCTCAGGCTGCAACTATTTCAGCACAACTGAACAAGAGGCACCGTTTAAAATATTTCTAAACCTACTACAAAATCTGTAGTTCAAAAGCAGCACTTTTCCATTGGGAATCAAAAAGTGGCCAATACAGATCTGGAAATTCTGAGATTACATTCCCTGATGAAATGTTCTCTTGATTTCCTAATAAATTAACCACATCCTTTTCTAGGCTGAGATTAAAAGAATCTTTGCTGCAGAGTTAACCCTGAAGTGATGAAGGCATGAATAATTGCTTCTGCACCAAAATGAGTGGACAAAAATTGTACTTGGAATGAATGCTGTGAAAGAAAATAGTAACATAACTACTGCAGTATCCTGCAGCAGAAGGGGATACAAAATTTTTCACAGATGAAAGAAGAACACCAGAAGTAAAGAGCAGATTTATCCTCTCCAATGAAACAGTAAATTCAATACAGCTTAACAGAGGCATCCTCTCAGCTATGACCTTGGAGCACACCTTTGTCAGCAGTGAGTACCAATGAGCTAGTGGCCACCTCTGCTCCCTTGCCTTGTCCCAGAGGACTAACTGGGATGAAGGAGATAAAGAACAGGGAATGTGATACCCAGTGTCTTCTCATTAATCCTCTGGTGGCTCTGTGTAAGCTGTTAGCAGGAAAGGCACTTTCAGAAGAGCACCTGGAAGAGTCCTCAGCAGTTCAGGCTGTTTAAGCTAATTTATCATGATAATTAAACACAGGTGAGCCAGTTGTATTTTATCACAATTGTTCACAGGACTGGAATCTTCTTCTACAGAGACAGCTCTGGGAAAATATCTGATTGTGCTTCAGCCGGACTCAAGGCTATTAAACAGGCACCTTTTAGTTATGTGTTTTGGCAAACTTGGCTTTATTTTCCTGTGTGTGAAGAATGGTATTACTGATGGCCATTATATCCAGTGTCAGAGTCACAGCATGTAACTCATGCTCTCTGTTAGCACTGGAGGTGTGCCAAGGCCCACCAGAGTCGAGCCCCAGCCATTCGGGTGGGTGGCTCACACCACTTGCTGTGAACGAAGACAAAATAGAAGCAGTTACTCCCTGGCAATCCTTACAGCTTCAGTCAGACACAGAACATGTTAGAGTCAAAGTTCCTCTGGAAAGGCAGGGTTACTTGTATAGATTCTTCTTCAGACTTCTTGTATAGATTAATTTGTGACTGATCACTTTCACAAAGTTGTTTAAATTATTTTGTCCATGACAAATTTCAAATTTTAGATTAACTCACTACCCTGTCTTGGTGACATCTCTGTAAAGTCTGCAATGACATGCAATTTGCATTGAACTCCCAGGAGATACCTATAAACACGAGTCAAATGCCAGCAATTAGCAAAATATCAGGTGAAAAGAAAATCTGTTCTTGCATAGTTACTTCTCAAGGCTAAGTACTGAAGTCTTTGTAAACCATCAATGTACATCAGTCACAGAATTATATAAGCACCAGCATTGAAGGGAGGGAACACTTCTGCCCTCTGGGAAGCATTAACATGGTCAGGACATTAGTCAGCCTCATTCATTTAAACTTCATTTAAAATGTATTTTAAGCCTCAACAACACAAAAGAAATTCACGGAAATTTCACAAAATTTGAAAAAATGATAGTTCCTGGAAAGCTTATATAATCAAGAACATTTATTATTATGTTTACACAACTTGACTTCATATTAACATCTCTTGATATTTTGATTACTTCATTTAACACCTCCTGTTATTTTGATTACTTTACAGCAGTACAAAGTCAGCTTGTATGGTCAATGACAGACTCACCTCCCCAGTGCTCATCACACACTGTGAACAAGGTGGTTTTATTGGCTAATCCTGGGAACACACTGCTGCACTCCATAACAATAGCCTGAGGAATCATTATGATGCAGGACACAATCCAGATAATTATAATGCTGTTCCTTGCTCGCTTGGCTGTGCTTTTAAACATCAAAGGGTGACAAATTGCATACCATCGATCCAAAGCAATGCAGCTGAGTGTTAGGACAGACACAGACACGGAAACTGTCTAAAGAAAAAGAAATATTATATAAATATAAATGTGGGGGTTTTTCCTAGAGTTTAAAAAATTATTCATCATCATTTCCCCCCAGAATTTTAAAAATTATTTATGTTTTCAACATAGTTAGTTCTTTATCTGCAATTGTTAAATAGACTCCCAGAAAAAAAGACTACTTTTAAAATAACTTCTTACAGAATTACAACAGATATCCTCATCTGCTGTACTCCTACTAGAATCCACAAGATAATTCACACATTAAGATGCTAACTAAACAGAATGGGTGTTGCAAAATCAAATTTTGAAATAGAAAATTTAATCAGCTTGGAATGTACAAAACTTTATCTGAAAAAACTTTTCAAACATTAGACAGTGAATTTTATCTTTTTTCTTTGTAGAAAAAAATATTTGTTTGTTTCTATGTTATATTAGCATACCAGAGCCATCATTTCACTTTTTATTTTTACAAGAACAATGAAACCCAGGATCTCATGAAAAAGTCCTTGACAACAATCAGCTTAAGGCAGACTAAAATATTTTACCTTTTATTTAGTAAAGGAAATAACCTATCACTTCAGCTTTATTGTTTCAATTTATATGCTTGGTGATCACTCACTCTTCAGATTTTCTTTCACTAGAATGGAGATTTTGAAAAAAAAAGTTGTGATTTTGATTGTATCAAGTAGAGGTTGTAGCTGCTGGAGAACCTTGCCTTTGACATTATATTTCTTTGGCCATCAAGGTATCTTCTGCAAATATAAACTGTGCTGGAGGCACAGAGATGATGATCTGCACACATTCTGAGTACTGATTAATTCTTCTGAATTTTAATGACTACAAAGCCAAGCACTTGTCATTCTAGTTTACCCAGTCAGTTCATCCTTTCACCTATTCTTAGAAAAGGTATTTATCAATCATTTTGATGTAAATGATTTCAAAACTAGTCAAGTCCATGGGTAAATGAGAAGCAATTATTGCTTAAGGCAGACAATCTGATCAACTCCCAGCGAACCCGGATACTTTGACACAAATACAGTAAACATAAAAAAAGTTTATACTGCCTTCAGAAGTTGGATTCTCTGTCATAGACACTTGTGTAGCTGTTCAGATCCACACAGAGAGAATATTAATGAGTTTATTTATGTTTACAAGTATTTTTATTACTTTACATCCCTTCTGAATCATTAGAAAGATCACAAAAAGTAAAGAGCATAGAAAAATGTTCCAAAAGATGCATTTTTGAAGGCCAACAATTAGATGGGATGAAAATCTTGATTCTGCATAATCATATTCCCAAGTGGAACAGTCTTTTAGGCCTCAGCATGTACTCTGAGATATCTACTCAGTATCAGGTATGGACTTTCATTGGATTAGAAGTATCAGGAAGACGCTGTTGTCATTTCTGGTTCTCATAACATGGGTAATGTGTACACAAACAGAAAAATAATACCTGTAGGTAGGGAATCACTTTACAGAGGGTCTGCCCAAAGAACCACGTTTCTGTGATGTCCACAACTAAAGTTGCTGGAAGACAAGTAATTGTGACCAGAATGTCAGCCAGAGAGAGATTCACTATGAAGTAGTTGGTAACGGTCCGCATGTGATGGTTCTTCCACACTGCAAGGCAAACTGGATTTGGAAAGACAAGTTAGTGAGATGGAAATGACTTAGGAAATGCTTTAAGAGGAAAACATTTGACTTTGTGGAATTAAGGAAATGTTTGTGTCCTTTGTTTAACACAGAGTATCTGAATATGCAAGAACCATGTGTTTTCTTTTAGAGTAGAAACAAGAGGGTGCATGTAGACAGATTCTTATTGCACAAAGAAAGCTTTCCACAGACTGCAGGGTGGAAAATAATCCAACATATAAAGCATCTTCTCTGCTAGTTAATCTTCACTAACTACTCATACAACTTTCTTCATTTCTCTTTTCAAGTCATTGGCTCTAGTCTACAGCAATACACATCTATCTATACCTGCAAATGTTTATCTATTTTCTTATAATAGCATGATGCTTAAATCAAATTACTGCAACACAGAATCTTGTAAGCTGTACAAATATAATTTTAGAAAATATTTTGCTGGATTTAATATATCTATTGCATCTGCAGAGAATCTGTAACAATTTTCTGGGTAACTGTTATTTGAATTAAGTTAATAAAAGTAATTTTTGCTGTATTAAATGTCACATTTTTGATGGTGATCAAAAGCAGCATGTAGCAGGCACTTTATAAGATGTGCCTTTAAAGCTTGTTTTGTATATTTTATGTCACTCTTTTTCACACTGAAAGACTTTTAGAAATGAAACAAATCAATCTTTAAAATCACTACACTAAATTCATAAGCTGCTGAATTAAAAATGTCATAATTAAGTCTAGGAAAGTAGCAGAAAAGTAATTTTTAAAATAATTTTGGAAGTCAAACCCTGAGTGACTGGTGCAATCAAAATTTTGAATTATGAATTTTGAATTATTTTGATTTTTAAATTCATTCACCCAAAGATCTTTAAAAACTGATGCCCAAAATTTTCCAGAAACACCGCAATACTTTTTGTAAGACAAGAATACAATTCATTGTACATCAAGGGGTCTTCCCTGCAAACAATTATTCATCCATCATGCACATCTAGATGAAGATTCAAAGTCTCCTAATCTGTCAGGATCTAGCACAGTGCTTAATTTAGATATACTAAACAGATCAGAGAATGTTAAAAAATAGAGCTAAAAAGGTCCTCAAGAGGTTGCCCAAATCTAAAATGGAATCTGCCAGAGTTAAGCCACTCTCTTATAGTCATTAAACTATCTAAAACAGCTGGAAAAAAATACACAGACTTTAAGGCACATAAGCTCTTGAGATCAGATGCTTCTTTAGATCCTAAGAGGGATGACGTGCCTGAAAGCTTCTGTCTGTCTTCCAGCTCTATCAGTTGATCTCATAAAATATATTAATTCATTCCACAAATCTTGTCTTATGTCTCTAGAACAACAGAACTACAGCAAGACAACAACTAAGCAACTGTTGGCAAGTTTTCATTTGAAAATGTGCTATATTTGAAGATACCACACATCTCTTAAATGTGTTGCAGTTTCATTATCTTCCCTTCCCTACAAAAAAAAAATTCTTCTCATGTCTAATCTACTTTTTTTTTTTTTTGCTGCTATTTGTATACCTTTTTTTTCTGCACAGAGGCAGAAATGAGAAAGAGTTTTTTTTCCTGCAGCAATGCTTCACATATGTAAGGATTTTTGTTATATATTTCCTCAGAACTTCAGAGCTCTTAATCTTTTACTCTCAGTCATTCTTAGAACTTCTGCAATCATCCTTGCTGCTGCTCTCTGGGCACTTTCAGATGGAATTGAACCTTTCTGGTGAGAGTGCAGTGACCAAAACTGGCAGAATATGCTTTCAAGATCTTACCAGTGCAGTGCTGGGAGCTGAGATTGCAGTACTTCTTCATGGGGGATATGTTTAGACACTTAGACTAGGACACAGAGAAAGGGAGAGGCTAGGTGGCCTTTAGCTTCTCTAAGACCAGGTAATTTTATTAACTCTCTTAAGATATAGGCTTCCAAGGTTCATCTAAAACCTCTGCTGTGATGCAACATATGCTCTTCATATATTTTAATGTGTTGCAGAGATAGCTCTGGATTCTGTCACTTGGATAAATTTAATTTTTGCTATATATGTATCATGCTGTCATAAATGCAAATGAAAACCTCTCTACAAAGATCTTCACTGTTCTTGGACTGGTTTTGAAAAGAAAACAGTATGAATTTCTTCTATTGCTTTCTTCCTGAATTCAGAATTTCAGATTTTCTTAGTTTTGTCCTCAGATACCTAAAAGGCAAGGCTTAAAGGAAACATCATATTGATTGCATTTTCTTCCCATTTGGAAGATTTAAAGTACCCACCAAAGTAATTATCTCTACAGCATTGCATGATAATTGCAATGCTGATACAACATAACAAATCAGAGCTTTATCACTGTCACTCGTGCATGGGGTAACCACAGTTATAGTCTGATAGTACAGAGGCAGCACCTGATAGGGAACAAATACATTGCTGCCCCTCTGGAACGTTGTTTGCAGTTGGAAATGCAAAGCTGGGGAAAAAAATGCAAAAAACATTTCACTTTCAATAATTTTAATATTTAACTCTAAAAATTTGAAGATCTGGACATTTACTTATGGCTGTTCTTTGTCTTAAGTGCAATTCATATTGAAAGTATGGTCCTGTCTTTTAGTTGGACAAAAGTTGATGTTAAGCGGCAATGTCTTGCTGGGCTTCTTATTCTTTTTATCAACAGGCAAAAATTAAATAAAAAATTGTTTAAAAGTTCACAGTTTGGCTACTTTTTTCTCATATTATGGTTCCAACATCCTGTGTTCTACTCAGTTCAGACAACTACATCATTTACAGCTATGGATGTCAGTGCCTAAAGGTGCAAGGTTTAAGCAGATATGCTTGGTCTTTGACCAGGCCTATTCCCATTCCTGTGCTGGTCCATGCAAAAAAGACCTGAATATAAACATTATTTCTGGTAAAACAAATCCATTAAATTGACAAATATGAGGTCAATCTCACTGGCAGCCAGCTGTATCAGAAATCAATTCATAGCATTCTGCATGTTGAGTTCAAGGCTGTATGAGCAAATGAAACTTTGTGATACCCCAGAGATCTAAGAATTACTACCATTTTCATCTCTGACACAAAGAAAGTGAAGTGCAGAACAGAAGTTGTTAAAGGCCCTACAGTAAATCAGACACAGAATGAGAAACTTGGACTCCTAATTCCCTGCCGTGTACTAAACCTTCCAGATCCCACTGCCTTAACACAGATGGAATTCAGATGAACTTCAGTATTTGCTGCTCCTCAGAGTAACATAAAAGACTGTGCCTCTTGCTACTCAGGGTGTAGAGTGTTCAGGAAAGCCAAGACACAGAAACTACCCCTGAATTCCCTTGAATTCTAATCTGTGGGGATAGGCACCTGGAAGGTGAAAAAGCCCAATAGCTTACAAGCATAGAAATGCAAGATAATTTGTTACTTTATATTTCTCTGCTTATGCTTGTATATTTCCCCTTTTGACCTCTTCTCTTCTTCACAGCATAAAATATTTCCCATTATTTTTATGGTACATAGCACAAGAGCACCTTAATCAGCTTTAAGTTTACATAAGCATTTACATACTACCATAAAAAAAAAAAAAGAGAGAGAGAGAGCCTGTGAAAAAAAGCCTCTGAAGAGGAAGTATTTAAAACCAAGTCAGCTTTCTCTGCCCTCATTGCCCTCTGCTGTTTGCAGTACTGTTTTGAACCTGCCACAAGCATTGGTAACGTTTTCTTTCAGTGCAAGGCTAAAAAGCTGTGAGGATCTGCTATGAGTTATTTGAATAGGACATAATGATAACAAGTCATAAATAAGTCCTAAATGACATAAAGTTAGTTGAATACATTCCTTCCAGACTCGCTCTTTCTGAGTTTACTACAGTCCAAGGTAACTCAGTAGTCTTGGACAATAGCTTCATTGATAGTGTTCTAGCAGCTCATCAAGAAAGATTCTCTAGCCTGTGCTCAAAACCTGCTATTTTATAGGCATGAAAAATAGTTTGACTATGCCACTGAATATTGTGCAGCTAGTTAAGTGTCAGAACAAAGGAATTTAATATACACACTCCTTTAATTACACATTTTCATCCCAGGCAGTTTTACAGGGAAGCACTCAGCTCACACAGAAACACTCAAGAAACAGGCTAGGAAAAGAAAGTTCCATGGAGGTTAAATGCCATCTGCCTGCCCAAACAGAAATAGCAGAGAGCTGTGAATTTCCACTTATCCTGAAGAACAGAAGAAAGTATAAGAAAGATAGTAAAGAGTCTCAATTGGGCGTGTATTTTACCAAAAAGTACTTCAAAATCATAAAATAGGAGATGAGGCCAGCAGCAGCCTTCCTAAAAAGCTGGGAGATACCACTGTGTTAACAGGATGCCTGTTTAGTTGGAGCACAGGAGAGTGGCCCAAACTAAGCTCTCCATCAAAAATCTGTGAAATAGAAAAATAATTTAATAAAACCTCAATTTAACATTATGTGCAAAGCTTTTATGCAGCCTTTGATGTTCCTAGCTATAAATGGGACTGAGAAAGAAAGTGGGGAAAGTGATGTTAACACAGACACTGAAGAAAAGGATTAGAAAGGAGAGAAATGTAAAAAAGCAGTTATGAAACATGCTTCTGCTGTGCATGATTTTCCCTAGTGCTAATGGAACCCAATTACCTGTCCAATGTATTGTATAATTTTCCATATTTTTGCTTTTATTTTACAAAGCCAGTCGGAATTAGAGCTATTCCTGCAAGTGCAAACAGGCCGGCCAGGTTTCACCAGGGGCGGCTGTTTTTCTAATGGTTGTTAGACTGCCCCAGATCCCTCATCTCACCGGGGACATTTCACTTTTTCAGACTTCAGCAGAGCCTTAAAAAGCGAAGCACTTGTTGTTCCCACCTCTTCCACACAGTGTCAGTAAAGGCTCGGAAACCAGCTGCAGTCGCCAGGCTGAAAGCCTTTGGAAAAATTTGTGGAGGCTCTCCATAAGCCAGGATAGTTCTGTGATGACGAAGCTGCTTTCCGGACC